AGACGGTAGTAAGGCACCGACTCGTCAAAGGTGACGTCCTGGGAGGACAGAACACGGCGCGAGGTGGGGTGGTAAAACTGCCACCCAGGCGCGTCAGGGGGGAAGCCAAGGAAGACGCAGGGAACAGCACGGGGGGACAGCTTGTCCGCAGACAAGTCGCGGACAAACGCCCGAGATCCCCAGACTCGAAACGCAGACGCATCGCCAACCTTCCCCGTCCACCGCAAGGTGGGGGAGGTCTCTGGCAAGGAGACCCGGGGCTGAAGGTTGAGCTGATGCGCTGCGTACTGAACCGCAAACGGCCACAGAAAATGGGGGGCAGCCGCATGGATCATGGACGTACGAGCGACGTCCATGACCATGCCAATGCGGCGCTCAGCAATCCCATTTTGCTGTGGAGAGGCCGGAAGCGTGAAGGTCTGGCGGATGCCCTGTGCTCGACAGAAGGCTCCCAGACGGGCAGAGGAAAACTCCCCGCCTCTGTCAGAGTGCAGACGCAGAACAGGAAAGTCCGAGCCGAAACTCTCTCTGAGCTGGAGACGAGCTGCGCGGATCCAGTCGATCAACACCTCAGTGACGTCACCCTTGCTGCGTAAGGGGAAGACTGTGGTGTAACGCGAGTAGTCGTCAACCACCAACAGGAAGTAACGCTCGTGCCCCTGGCCACGGACGCAGGCGGGGCCCCACACGTCCATGTGAAGAGTCTGCAGCGGAGCCTCTGTCGGAGGAAACTCGGAGGAGTGAGGGGCGGCGCGCTGTCGCCCCTCGACGCAGGGGACGCAGGTAGGGGCAGGCCCCGGAGGTAGGGGAGGGAGAGACCGGGGGAGACCAGAGACAAGGACACGGGAGGCCATGCCTCGGAGACGAGGCAGGGAGGGGTGACCAAGGCGGTGGTGCCAAAGGAGAGTCTGGTGGGACAGGAGACGACACGAGCAGGGAGCAGACTCAGGACCAGACCTGGACGCTGCAGCAAACACCTGACTCGACGCAGCTACCTGACCAGACTCAGCAGCCGGAGGAGACTCAGTAGTAAGTGTGTACAGGCTCGACCCCGGCCGACGGGTGAACGTGGCCAAGTGTCGGCCTGTCCGAGCACACGTGCAGTGGGTCACCCGCTGACTCGCAGGAGTGAACTGGTCAACCCCCCTATCCTGTAGATCAGCTCCACTCACCAAGTTCGTAGAGAACGAGGGGAGGTAGAGACCTGACAGGGTGCCAGAGGGGGCTGCCGGGCACGGTAAGACAGTGGAGAAGCTAGCAAGGACAGGACCCCCAGAGGGGTCCGCCAGGGAGACTGCAACCGGCCGACTAAGCGGCGTAAGCGTGGTGCGGTCTCGAAAGAAGGAGTGGGAAGCACCCGAGTCAAGGGTGAAGGTGTGGAAGGCCTGAGTCGACGTAGTACCTGAGAGAGCAGACTCACCAGCACCTGGGGCAGCAGACGCACTAGCACCTAGAGCAGCAGCCTCACCAGCACCTAGAGCAGCAGCCTCAATGCCCGGGTCAGGCGGAACACACAGGTAACAGTCACCCTCATCACTAGTAGGCAATGCATACATGGGAGTGAGGATAGCATCATAGTCAAGAGTATAGATATCTACCCGCAGCCGAAGCAGCTCCACCCAGTCGGGGAGCTCAGCCGCGTCGCCAAACTCCGTACGCCAGGCGTCACTTAGACGGGCGAAGCAGCGGGGCTCTGCGTGACCAAGCGTCCCGCAAGGCTGACCAGTCCGAGCACCAGTGCGAACGACGTACGGACAGCGAGCAGTACCCCGTGACCCGTCACGCTGAGCGTACCACTCACGAAGCTGCTGGGGCGAAAGGACCGCGCGCGGACGACGCTGAAGCTGCACCTGGCCACTACAAGCAGCTGCCGAACTACTTACTCCAGGACGACTCCCACTACGGCCACCCCGACAACCCCAACTAGCGTACCACTCACGAAGCTGGTGGGGGGTGAGGGACTCACGCGGGCGACGTTGCAGCTGCACCTGGCCACTACAAGCAGCTGTGGAACTACTCACTCCAGGACGACTCCCACTACGGCCACCCCGACAACCCCAACTAGCGTACCACTCACGAAGCTGTTGGGGGGTGAGGGACTCACGCGGGCGACGCTGGAGCTGCATCTGGCCACGCCAGGAGCAGCAGTAGCAGTAGAAAGAGCAGTAGCAGCAAGAGCAGCAGTAACAGCAGTACGGGCAGGGCAGTGCTCACCAGTGGCGAGAAGGGCAGGCGTACGACGGCGGCAACGGCGAGGCCGCTACCACTGTAGGGCGAGAGCTCCGCGGCAGCTGCAGGGGCGGGTGCTCCAGGGGCGGCTGCTGTAGGGGTGGCTGCTCCAGGGGCGGCTGCTGCAGGGGCGGCTGCTGCAGTGGCGGCTGCTCCAGGGGCGGCTGCTGCAGTGGCGGCTCGGCTGCTGGGCGACTCGGCTGCTCGGCGGCTCGGCGGCTCGGCTGCTGGGCGGCTCGGCGGCTCGGCCGCTCGCTAGGGGCGGCGACGGGGCCGGGTAGGGGCGGCGACGGGGCCGCTAGGGGCGGCGACTGGGCCGCGTAGGGAGGGGAGCGGCGACGGGGCCGCTAGGGGCGGCGACGGGGCCGCGTAGGGGCGGCGACGAGGCCGCGTAGGGGCGGCGATGGGGCCGCGTAGGGAGGGAGGCGGCGACGGGGCCGCTAGGGGCGGCGACGGGGCCGCGTAGGGGCGGCGACAGGGCCGCGTAGGGAGGGAGGAGGCGACGGGGCCGCTAGGGGCGGCGACGGGGCCGCTAGGGGCGGCGACGGGGCCGCGTAGGGGCGACGACGGGGCCGCGTAGGGAGGGGAGCGGCGACGGGGCCGCTAGGGGCGGCGACGGGGCCGCGTAGGGGCGGCGACGGGGCCGCGTAGGGAGGGAGGCGGCGACGGGGCCGCTAGGGGCGGCGACGGGGCCGCTAGGGGCGGCGACGGGGCCGCGTAGGGGCGGCGACGGGGCCGCGTAGGGAGGGGAGCGGCGACGGGGCCGCTAGGGGCGGCGACGGAGCCGCGTAGGGGCGGCGACGGGGCCGCGTAGGGGCGGCGACGGGGCCGCGTAGGGAGGGGAGCGGCGACGGGGCCGCTAGGGGCGGCGACGGGGCCGCGTAAGGGCGGCGACGGGGCCGCGTAGGGGCGGCGACGGGGCCGCGTAGGGAGAGAGGCGGCGACGGGGCCGCTAGGGGCGGCGACGGGGCCGCTAGGGGCGGCGACGGGGCCGCGTAGGGGCGGCGACGGGGCCGCTAGGGGCCACGAGGGGCCTGGAAGGGTGGCGACGGGGCCGCTAGGGGCTGCGACGGGGCCGCTAAGGGTGGCGCGAGGGGCCGTGAGAGGGGCCTCTAAGAGAGCTCGACAGAAGGGCGGCCCACAAGGCGCGCCTCGGGCTGGAGCGACTGGCGCTCCGGTCAGAAAAAAAAGTTTCAGTGGTGGGCCCAAGGAAGCGTTCCCACTAGGGAACCTGCTCTATACCATGTGAAGAAATGAGGAATGAATGAACTAGCACAAGGTTGGGTACAAGTAGGAAACCCTAGGAAACTGTACCCCATAGTGTCTACCCCACTATAGCCTAGACAAGCTATATGATATGAGTTTGACAACGCACTCCGTTGCGCATGAAGGTAGTAGCTGCGGGTGTAGGGTTGAGGGGGGGGAGGGGAGGTGCGGGTGCGAGAATGCGACGACGAGCAAGGTTGTCGGGGGCCTCACCGTCTTCATTTTCTGAGTCGTCGCTGTCGTCGGGGATACGGGCTTGGGTTGGTGCCGGAGCCGGGGCGGGAGCAGGAGCAACGTTGTTGGTGCGAGCGATTTTGGTGGAGCGGGGGGCCGCGACAGGTTCCTTCTGCTTTTCGATTTTAGCGGAAGCGGAAATTTCTTCGGTCGATGTAGCTGCTGTCGATGGTGCGTGCTGCTGCAATAACGAGAGCAGCGCCTGCAGCTGCTGCGCAGTCAAAGGGGGGGGTGCGTTGACCGGGGTGACGTCAGCGGAGGGTGCCGCGCGCTGGCGTTTCTGGGTCGTGGGCCCGGATGGACCCGCGTCAGCGCCGGTCAAGACGGCCGCCGCGTCAGCGGCGGTCGTCGTCTTCTGCGCAGCACGCGCGTGCCTGCCAGGCACGCGCTCTTCATCAGCAGCCACGCGCGACTGTACAACAGTCGCGTGTTCCTCAGGGGGGGTCCGAAGGGTGCCTCCGAGCAAGAGGTCGACCGCCGAGGGTCCCTCGCTTGAAATTTCTTCGGCGGGACGTTTTCCGCCGCGACGATCCGTTGTCCCGGCCGGGGTCGAGGTTTCCGCCGCGTTACCGGGGCTAGAAATATTCGAGTTGTCGCGGTTAAGTGCCGGGTTGACCGGGGCCATCGTTGCGAGGTTGCGCTTAAAGCCCGCATGCAAAATAGTGACCCCCCCCTTCTAGTTGGGTCCACTAGAAAGCTCATGAAAATTTCCAGAAAGTTTGGTGTTTTTTTCTGAACAAGGCAAGTCCCCAAGTAGTAACAAGACCGATTTGAAGTTGTTTCCGAATTCTGATACGATCAGTCGCAACTTGCACAGAATTGTCGCAAGCTTGCTATGACATTTCCACTTCTCCCACCCATCCAAATCCGCATCGAGCACAACACATCACAAATTTCACAACGGAACCTGCCACCACACACGCAGCATACACACAATGTTGAGCTAACTAACAACACAGAGTGATGCAAGTAGCAAACAGAAGAACGACAAGGTGACTCGAGAGGAGAGGGGCCGACGGGAATTAGAACGGTAAGGGAGGGGGTATAGCGAGGGCGATTTACCGTACAATGGGGGAGATCGCGGGCGACGGAAAATGGAGTAGATCGCGTAGGCGACTGCAAATAGGGGATCGCTATAAGATCGCGTGTGAGATAGCGAGCGCGACGGGGAGAGGGGGGAGAAACAGCGAGCGCGACGGAGTGAAGGGGGGAGATAGCGACGGCGCGGAACGTGATGGGAGATAGCGACGGCGCGAGACGTGCTTGCTAGCTTAAATTATGTCGCGAGACGTGATCGGAGGGGAGGCCATGAGCGCGAAGGCGATGCGAAGAAAGGTGCACGTGAGCGCGATGGTGACGGGAGGGCGGAACGTGAGCGCGATGCCGATGGGAGGGGAGGACGTGAGCGATAGGAGATGAAGTGGGGAAGGAGAAAGGCGACGGGAGGGAGAGCGATAAGGCGATGGGAGGGAGAGCGGACAGGCGACGGGAGAGAGAGCGCGAAGGCGAAGGTAGGGAGGGCGGACAGGCAACGGGAGGGAGAGCGCGAAGCAGACGGGAGGGAGGGCGCCGACGGGAGGGAGAGCGCGAAGGCTAGGGGAGGGGGAGCGGACAGGCGACGGGAGAGAGAGCGCGAAGGCGAAGGGAGGGAGGGCGGACAGGCAACGGGAGGGAGAGCGCGAAGGAGACGGGAGGGAGGGCGGACAGGCAACGGGAGGGAGAGCGCGAAGGAGACGGGAGGGAGGGCGCGAAGCCGACGGGAGGGAGAGCACGAAGGCGACGGGAGAGAGAGCACGAAGGCGAGGGGAGGAGGAGCGGACAGGCGACGGGAGAGAGAGCGCGAAGGTGAAGGGAGGGACGGGGGTTCAGGCAACGGGAGGGAGAGCGCGAAGGAGACGGGAGGGAGGGCGGACAGGCAACGGGAGGGAGAGCGCGAAAGAGACGGGAGGGAGGGCGCGAAGCCGACGGGAGGGAGAGCACGAAGGCGACGGGAGAGAGAGCACGAAGGCGAGGGCGGGGGGAGCGGACAGGCGACGGGAGAGAGAGCGGACAGGCGACGGGAGGGGGAAGGCATATCGCGAGGGAAAAGGGGGACATCGAAGGCAACGTGAGGGAAGGGAGATAGTGAGGGCGACGGGAAGGAAGAGGGGACATCGAAGGCGAGGGGCGGGAGAACGGGAAGGCGACGGGATCGGAGGGAAATCGCGAGGGCGAGAGGACAAGAGGGGTGAACGGGAGAATAACAGACCGGGAGGGGAGACCGTGACGACGACGGGAGGGCCGTTACGCGTGTGTTTGCGAGGGCGACGGAAAGGCGACGGGACGGACTAGAGAGCGAGGCGACGGGCAAATTGATTGAGACAGGAAACTGGCACTGCGCTACCAGGCCATGTAAACCTACATTTCACACTCTTGCTAAGTCGACGATTGACGCACTCGTCGGTAATTACGTGGCTATGACACGAACGCCTGTGCTTTCAGCTATACTACTTACTATGCTATGCGGAAACTAGTGATGAATGGAGTGACAGAAATCTAGTAATGCACCCATCACCAGCTTGAAAATGAGGTTGGGCCTGCGATGGGAAACCATCGCCTGGGGTTTGTCGTGCGGATGCGGCACGCAAAAATGCGACGGCTGATATGAGAAAGAAAGTTCATTTTGGCGGGAACCATTACGTTCCATTGTGGCGAGAGCCAATAACATGAGTTCACTCTGCTCTGCCCATACAAATCGTTTGAAACAGTGTTTTTGATACTGGTTTCATCCTCACTTGCAACTCCTCATTCAAGTTGGGACGGGGGTCACTATTTTGCATGCGGGCTTTAAGGATGTCGTTAAGGAGCGTTGACGGGGCAGTGAAGCGCGGAAGCGACTGAGTCTCGCCAGTGTGGACGAGAACGAAAGTAGAACTACAATTTTGAAAATGAAAATGTGGGTGGGGACGAATGTCCCCACGTCCCTCTTTTGTAGGCAAAAGAGGGTGAGTAGCGCTTCGGCGCTACCTTCGCTGTGTTGGCCACGTACCCCTTTTCACAATACAAAATTTTAGAAAGTGTTACATTTCATTACACTTTCAAAAATTATCATATTGTACTACACATCACTCATTGCAGAGGAGTGGAGCACACAAATTTTAGCATGGTTTGGCAATGGTCAGCGCTGCGCGACGTTTTGAGAAAAACACAACCCCAATCTCAACATCTCCAGCATTCAGCCAAGTTGAATGTGACATCTGCATTTGGCAGCCGTCTTGGTACCAGGTACTTTTGTGTTTAAGGATTTTAACAGAAGCCTCTTGTTTCAGAGTCTTGACTACTCGATATCTAGCCCCGGAAAGAGTGGTGGAGACGTTCGTACGCTTGAACTGGCTAACTTGTTTTTTCAGCAATGCATGAATGACAAGCATATGCACAATCACAGCTTTCCTGAACCAACAGGAGCATAATAATGAAGAGAGCAGCTTGACCTACACCTAAAATTACTATACCTTCCCCCCTATCCCAGCTACACTCTTCTCTCAGCATCTTCCACCTCCTCGACATCCTCCCCCCGTGCCTCCCAGCCGCCGCTGATGGGCTGTGCCAGCGATGCGTCATAGAGATGGCCCATCTTAGCGCGCTTTGTCTCCAAATATCTCCGGTTCTCCTGCCACACCAGAGGTACGGTACAGAGAGGATGGAACCTCGGTGAGCGTGGAATGTCAATGTGCACAAGAAGTGGGATGGGAATGGGGAGTACCAGCGGAAGACGCTAACTATAGGAAGAAAAAGCAGAGAGACTGCTGAGAGGCAGAAGACAAAGTAGAGTGTACAAGTGAGGCAGGGTAACTCACCATGTTGATGGGGCAGAGCACTGGCACTCGTCCGTTGACAGCAAACCCTAATTCACTGATTGCCGTCAGCTTCGCGGGGTTATTCGTCATCAGCTGCAGCGACCGCACGCCCAGATCCCTCAAGATATGCGCCGCAGCGCTGTACTCCCTAGCATCAGCCGGCATGCCCAAATCCAGATTAGCCTGCACTGTATCCCGCCCCATGTCCTGCAGGTTATATGCCTGCAGCTTGTGCCCTAGCCCGATTCCCCGGCCCTCCTGCCCGCGCAGGTAGATGCACACGCCGCGGCCTTTGGCCTCTATGCGTCGCAGAGCTTGCTGCAGCTGGGGGCCGCAGTCGCAGCGAGCGGAGGCAAAAATGTCACCTGTGAGGCACTCGCTGTGCACTCGCACCATCACGTCCTCGCCTGATGAGATGTCACCCTGTGGGATGGGAAGGGAGAGAAGAGAGGGAAGAGGAGTTGAAATGACATGCCCGTTGGCCAGTCAGTCAATTAACTGGGCACTTGGACGGCGAATGTGGTGGATGGAGGCAGAGTATGGCAGGGAGAGGGTCGACGGTGGGTAAAAGAGAAAAGAAAAAGGACCGGAGAGGGGATGGAGAGGGATTGGGGAAGGAGAATGGGAGCGAGCGAGCAACACACCTTGACCATGGCGACGTGCTCGATGCCGTCCACATCGCTGATGTAGCTCACGATGTCAAACGTGCCCCACTCCGTGGGCAGCCGCGCCAGCGCTGTGCGCCGCACTGTGCGCTCTACCAGCCGCCGGTGCCTGTGGGCAGGGAGGGAAGGGGTGGCGGACAAAGGGGAGGGTGAACATGAGGACTTGGACAAAGACCATTGGAGGGAGTGGTGGAAGGGCATTGACGTTCTTCAGGGGTATGAAGGCCGTGGTAGTTGCAGCAAGGCATAGCATGGCAACCCATGAGAGTAGGCCGGTTAGGCAGGGCATGTGGGAGGCATGGTAATGCACGTGAGAAGACATGGCATGGCGGTGAAAGGCAGGGCATGATAGTGCATGTGAGTGTTCTCACCTGACGATATCCTGAATGGAGATCAGCGTGAGCGCATTCTGGGCGGCAAACTGCTGCGTCTGGGCGGCATCGGGCAGCGAGCCGTCATCATTGAGCAGCTCCGTGACAGCTGTCACGGGCGGCAGCCCCGCCAGCACGGCCATGTCCGCCGCCGCCTCCACGCGCATAGCTTGGCGCAGCACTCCGCCCGGATGCGCGCGCAGCGGAAAGATGTGGCCCGGGCGGCAGAAGTCAGCGGGTAGCGAGTGCGCGTCCGCGAGGGCCCTCAGCGTGCGCGCCCTGTCCGCCGCGGAGATGCCCGTTGTGGTGCCCACCGCAACGTCCTGGGGGAGGGGAAGGGGGAGGAGAAAAGGGGCGTAACCAGTGAGGGGTGGACGGCGAGCAAGAGAATGGCCTTGTATGTGCAGATCTGACGATCGGAAGGACGCGGGAGAGCAGGGGTTGTTGCTGCTGTGTTTTTACGCTGTGTATTTGTATGCCTTGCCACCATCCTGAGACCGCTACTGTGACAGACAGCGTCAACTCACCACCGACACGGAGGACGGCGAGCCGTTCTTCGCTATGCCTTCGGCGCCCGCCAGCATGGGCGGAATGGAGAGGCGGTCTAGCACAGCGGGGGACGCGGCGGCGGAGACGATGCCGCTGCCGTGGCGAACCATGAAGGCCATGCGCTCCGCCGTCGCGAGCGACGCGGGCATGATAAGATCAGCGACATCCCGCGAGTGTTCGTCCACCACCACCACAATCTGCCACGATGGGAGGATTGTCGCCGAACGACGTGATTATGGGATCAATCAGTCGAGTGAATTAACTAATGTAGCGCAATTCCTCACGAGCTTACTCGAGCAATGGCGAGCGCAGGTGAGCACAGGAACAGGTTCAGACTGAATAAAGCTGGCGCTGTCGGCTTCCACGGCTTACTGCGAACTTCGCGCCATTCGCTCCCCATCCAGTCGTCTACTGCCCGAACCCTCTCCCCCAGCCACACCACTGTCGCGCTCACCTCTCCTCGTCGAATGGCGGCGATCGCCTCCTCCACGCGTCGCACACCGGGCACTTCACTGCGCGCCGGCGATCTCGGCGACAGCGGTCTGTTTGGCGCCTCCCTGTCTGTCTCCGCGGCTTCTGGTTCTACCAGCGGCATGGGACCATCTCCCCATCTGCACGGACACATGAACCGTCAGATGAACGGCCAAGATCGTCTGTCAGCAACGCTAGGATTCGTGATATTGACAGAGAGAACGAGTTAGGGGAGGAAGGCTTACAGGATAGTGGCAGGACCCTCGAGGTGTCCTGGTGAAGCGACGCCGTTCTGTGTGAACGAGGCAGCATTGTGAGAGCGAGCAGTGCCGTTCGGGGACACCGCGGCGCCGTTGCTGGCGGCTGAGGCTCGGAGAGAGAGGCGCCTTCTCGGGAGCGTCAATGGCGGCAAGGACGGTCGCGCGGAGGCAATTTGACGGGACAGGAGAGACGCATCAGTGACGTCTGCTCGGGAGAGAAACGAGCTGTTCAAGAGAACTCGGGAGTGGGCGACGATTGCGTCCATGGCTTAATCTCAATAAATATTCCCTCAGAGAATGCCGACAAAGAACTTTCTAGACTGTGAAGAGATTGCGACCAGCGAATAGATAGAGAAGTAGAACGGACTTGTAAATATAGGTGATGATGGCAGTTGGTGGAGCGATTAGTTCCATTGTGGCAATCTCGAGGTGTTAGGGATTGACGCGGACCTGGCCAGTGGGGAAAAAGCGGAGGAGGGGGAGGCGGAATGGGGAGGGAGGGACTGACTGAGTAGTGGACGAGCGGAGCTGACGGATGAGGTGAGGGGAGGAGGATTCCGGAAGGCGCACACGAAGCAGGACGGAGGGGCGGGTGCTGTACCCCTGAACCCCCTCACTACCATCGGCGAGCGAATCCAGTAGGGCGCGCGGTGGTGGTGGGAAAGGCGTGATAAGAGTGGCGGAGAAGCGGACACGAAGCGGAAACATGGAGCCGCCTCGGATTCTGGAGCTTGGCTCCGCCACGTGGAGGAATTTCCACCAAATTTTTTACGCGAACCACCCAGTGCTGGGCACGTTGGCTCTTTACCGCGAGCATCCTGTCGTCATCAGGGGCTGGTCCACGTTGGATTCGTCGTGCTGACATCGTGGTCAGAGAAGTGCACTTTACTGTCGTCGACAAGTTCAAGGTCGACCCAACAAACGGTTGAACCTTCCTGGGCTTGGATGCTGCGTGTGCAGCTTCCTTCCTACATGATCAGGGCTGGAAAGGCTCAGCCAATCAATGCCAAGCTCCAGCAATTGAAGATTTATGGTGAGGGGAAACAGAAACACTCGTTAAAATAACTAACGAGGTACCCGTATACCGAGTTGTTCAGTTCATTCCCCTATGCTGTAACCAGTTAATTCGGGGAACTCGCTGCTACTACCATGGCTTCGTTGACCTAGTTGTCGTTGCATTCGTCACGCTGCGTGCCTTCACCTGCTCTTTCAGCTGAAAGATGTCAGGCGGGTGAAGCTCCATTGCTCGTCCCAACCAGTACGTCGCCATGGCACCTTCTCGAGGTCCCGACACGGTACTCTTTGAAGACAACCGCCGCAACCGTCGCGTTGAGGATCCTGGGGTGAGAGCACTTGGAAGGATGGTGTCGAGTGAGTCATTGCCAGCATTCGCTCCACGGAACATGATAGCCAGTCCGACGGGCTTGAGTTCTGATTCGGGGTACCTTGCGAGGTCACCTAACGGATTCCTTGAAGGATTCCGCTGACCGCGTAGATACGAGTAGCAACGAGCGAGCTATCGTCGCAGCCTTGTGCTGGCTGACAGGCAACGTGACGTCATGTCAGGCGTCAGTCTGACTCGAACGTCTGGTGTTGTAGCAATTCCGGTCAGGAGGCGTGTCGACATGCTGCGAGCAATCATGTCTCGTGCCTTAATAGCTGCCGTCTTAATCGCGTCGAGCCTGTTGCTCCCACCCGTCGCTCTCGGCGATGCCTCGGCGACCAGCTCTGGCGACGGCGACAGCGACGGCGACAGCAGTGCCGCTCGCCACACTTCGCGCGGCGACGGGGCGACGGCGCGCACCATGGATTACATCTCGGACGATCCCTCCGCGGTTAACTTCCCCGGTACGACCACACGCGGCCATGCTGCTGCTGCTGGCGGCTGCGTCTCTCCCCTTAGGACAGCCTCTCGGGTCTCTCCTCCACTTTTCGCTGCTGCCTTGCCGCTGCCTTCCTCCTTCCTGCAGCGAATGCGTCGCCTTATCGGCATTCTCCATCTGCCACCCTCTCTTATCCCTCTGCTCCCCCATCCCGCGCGCAGGTCCGCCGCGCGTGTCCGCCAACTCATGCGCGCGCCCATGCAAGGTGCCGAACCCGCCGATCGTCATCAACGTGGGGTTCGAGCGCGACATTCTGCGCCGCGCCACGCTCCCCAACGACACGCTCGTGACCATGCTGCTGTGGAGCAACGTGCGCCTGACACGTGGACTAGTGTTCGGAGCCAACTTCTCGTGCACCATCTTCAACTCCACGCGCTCCGGCAGGCTCACCATCTCGCTGCCCAACACGGCGTGAGTGGCCTGCATGCAAGCACCAACCGATTCACGACGCCACTGTCTCCTCTCCTCCACTCTGTGCCGGCGCTCACTCGCTCCCCCATCATGCACAGGCAGCAATCTCCCGGACAGTTAACACCCTCCCTTGTTCATGTCCCTCCTCACATCCTTTCCTGCCATGCCCTCCTCCCACCCATCCGAGCACGGCACGCCAGTGTTATAGCTGTTCAGCACGCACAACATGCTCGTATCAACTTCACCTCACTCTCTTATGCTCTCTAACCGTTCCTGCCATAACACCCCACCCCACCCCCCCAACCCACCTCCTCGCGTGCATGTGCAGCACGCCAGTCCTGGAGCTGTTCAACACGCACAACGTGCTCGTGCACGGCATCAACTTCCACATCCCCGTGAGGGACTCCGACACCACCATCTGCCGCTTCCCCAACATCGACCAGGTGCGCCACGTCCACACTCGCCGCCACTCCTGCCCCACTATATTGGAGCCACTAGTGAGATTTTTTTACAAGTCATACTCGTGAAGGACGCTGATACCATGATCTGCTCTTTCGGTGACACTGTTCAGGTGCGCGACATCTACATCGGCCGCAACTCCTGCCCTGCCCTTTTCTGAGTCGACTGAAATAAAAGCTTTCCCCGCCATCTGCTCTCCCCCCAACATGGAGCAGGTGCGAGACATCTACATCGGGCGCTACTCCTGCCCGGCCATCTTCCTCTTCCGTGTCTTGGCCGTGCAAGTCACACAGGGCACGGTGCACGGACGGATTGATGTCATGCGCGCCGCGTACTCGCGAATTGACAACATGCGAGTCACTGTGAATCCTGCCAATTGGCCGGCAGCCATCCGTGTGTCCTACTCTGGGCATGGCCCGACTCTGCAGCGCTCCAACGTATGGATTACAAACAATGAGCTGTTTTCCGGAGGGGAGGGGCGGGAGCAGGCGCAGCGGGCGCGCGTGGGGATCATGATCTTGTGGGGCGGGATAGGGGTGAACGTGATGAATAACCGCCTGCACGACTTTACCCTCGCGGGGATCCAGATGGGCCACGGCATGAACAACGTGGGCGATGCCATGTTGACCAAAGTGGCCTACAATGAGATTCGGCACGACTTTGGCGAGACAGGGGCGAACACGCGGCTGGACAACAGTGGGATTTACTTTGACACGCACTGGGTGAACCCTGGGAACTACCTGCGCTGCAACTATGTGTACCGTGGTGGGCACTGCCTGTACATCGACTGGGTGTCCAGTGGGGTCATCTCGGATGGGCTTGTGTGCGACCAGACAGCTGATGGGCTCAAGCTCAACTCTGGAAAGAAGTGAGTTGGGGATGGAGGTGCACATGCAGGGTGCCGTCAGTTGGATTTTCCAAATTTCTTGAAGCCTATCGTCCTTTGCTGTTCTCCCGCTACTCGCATAAGAACGGTATGTTCCCAATACGAATTCTCTTGATTCTTTTTCTGCATTGTCTTTTTCTGCTCCGTGTGGCTGGCAGCAACATGATACTGGGCATGGTGATGATCAACACGACGCAGTTCTCAGTGGGGTACATCTCGTGCCAGAACAACCACCTCAACAACTGTGATAACTACGCCGGCCCCAACTGGAACCGCCTCCTCAAAACCTACTTCCAGACGCCCGAGATTCGATGGGTGCGTTATTCACTCAGCCCCACTTGGCCTGTTTGTCCAGATTCTTTAGCGCATTGATGTTGACATGTCTCTTGCGTCTCCTGGCTGCTGTTTTTTGCCGTTATCTCACTACACTCCCCCCTTGCTCTGTCCTTTGTCTGGTGCAGAATTATCCTTATCTGACCAACTTTTGTGGGAAGAACCGCATCAACGGCATTGACTGCAACAACGGCACAGATGCTGCTCACAGCCGCGCGGTCACATCTGGATGCAGCGGGCTTCCCACTGAAAACTACGCAGAGCTAGTTTCTGCCACCCCGTCAGGCTCTCCAAAATATGTCATCTACATGCCCAACTGTGCGCCCTTCCCTTCTGTGCCTGCTCTCAACCGCATGCGGTATTTTGCCACGAGTATCGACAAAGCAGGGTTCAGGGATTCTAAGAATGGGGATTTTGGGCTGAGGAGCAACTCCGAGGTGTTGAAGCGGTTCCTGCAATTCAGAAGCTGTCCAAAGCAAATGATTGGTCCCAAACCACAATCATACAATGGTTACTTCAATCTGTTCAACATACCCCTGCCCTCAGTGAGACCTGCACTAAGGAGCAACTATGTTAGCCCCCGATGAATGCAGCTCGTTATATGAACCATGGGTCAGGTTAGGATATAAATCTCCATCTTCCGCATTGGTAGGCAGCAGTAGTTTGGTAGTTGCAACTTCAGAGTTTCATGTTGTGTGTCTCATTATTATATGGCTGTGTCAGTTCTTGGTTGTCACATAAGTCACCAGCCAGCTACACTCTACCGCGTATTTGTTTGTTCCTGTCTCCTCTGTTACCGTTCCCGTCAGTTGGCGGGTGTATGCAACCCAAAAATCCGTCAGAGCTGGTTGCGTCGGTGCGCCTCCCGTGCGATCATGTGAGCCAGGAAGGTCACGCCTGCCGCCAGCCGCAATTGGGTTGAATTTGGCGGGTTTGCGAAACCTTCAGTCGCAATTCCCAACGACCTTTTCGTCGCACGCCAAGCAGAACCAGGCTCCGCGGTGCGGATCACCTCAGGGCGACAAGCACATCGCGGCGAAACCGAGGTGACCTGACCAGTGGTCGTCGAAACTCGTCCGCACGACACTCTCGACGCGTTCCCTTCCCATCCCACCGTCCCCGTTCCGTCCCGCCTTTCCGCCAACCACCCAGCAACTCCCCCGCCATCCTCCGCTACCCTACCTTGACTTGGCTCCTCAGTTTGATCGTGGTTGCTGAATCCTGAATCCCCCAATCGCTTGCTGTTGTGCACTTGCTTGGTGTGTAGCTTTCCCGACCAAAACAGCCAACTAGCCTGTCACCACAACACGTCGTCGTTATTCCTACTCCGTAGCTTCGCTCCGGCTCCTGTCTATCTTTCCGCGTGGTTTCAATGAATTGCCGTGCGTGACCTCTAACTAGTCGCAGAGGTCGACGCGTTCCTGGTAGTTAGCTCATGTGAAGAGTGAAGAATTTCGTGCTTCTTAGAATCTACTCGTCCTTCATAACGTTAGGAATGACGGTCAATAGATTCTTGCAATGACGAAGGTGTATCAGGCTTGGAAAGGCAGTAACGTAAGTCTTCCTAATAGATTCCTTGTGACGCCCTAGGTCCACCGCTTTTCCTCGTCAGTATATGCAGCACTTGCTACCACTTTCTCTTGCCGCTGAAACAACTCCAACCATTCTTGCTCGTACATCCGATCTACCTCGTTACCCTTGCAGAATTTCTTCTGCTGGGGTCGCTGCATATTCGGTCCGGACGTGCGGTCGCTCTTCATATCCATCGCCCTTATATCCATACCGGGGACGCTTTTCTGCATATTCGTTGGCGCTCAGTTCATCAATAAAGTACCGGGTGGCATCGCGATACTAATAGTCGGAATATGTCTCGTAGTGTGGGTGAGTAGTGTAACTCGTAGCCACCTCCATCCTACCCATCGCCGAGGATTCCTTATCTCGTTACTCTCGAAGCTGAGTCGATATCAAACGCGCTACATCTCCCACACTCGATGCCGTACTTCTTACTGATGCTTCTTCCAATTCCAAATCCTTGTCTCCTCGTCGCTGCACCTCCCTCCGACGCTTCAGACTATGAGTTTATCGCCTTCCTGGTTGCCACCTTCGTTCCACCTCCACAGCTCCTATCTCCCCGTCCCCCATCCACTCTACCATCCTCCATAGTCCTGTGTTCAGCCTGTTGGTCGGCATTAGTGTACAATTTGCATGTGTGTATTGGATGCGTGTAGGGCTCACTTTCAATCCAGCTGCCATCAACACCCATCCCATTTCAACCCGTCTTCCTCGTCGCGGCTTTCCATCCCCCCTTCATACCTCCCCCATCCCCTCTCCCATCCACCTTCTCTCATCCCCCCTCCCATCCCACCTGTCCCATCCCCCATCTGCCATCCTCCCGCTCCCATCCCCCCTTCCCCTCCCCCTCCCATCCAACCTTTCCCTCCACCTCCCACACACCCCCCTGTCGCACCCATTCCTTCCCATTCCTCCTTCCCTATCCACCCTCCACTAACCCTCCTCACACTTCCCCCATCTCTCATTCCCCATCCCCTGCCCCCTCTCCCCTACGCCGCTGCGCGCAGGATCTGTGCGTGCTGCTATTCACCTCCAGCCGCGACCCGGGCATAGTCCCGCGCAACACACAGCCCCCCGAGCCGGACGGTGACGTGGAGGCGCCGCGGCCGTCGGGAGGGCGGCGGCTGCCGCGGACGAAGGACGTGGTGATAAAGGGCAAGACGGTGAAGGTTAAATACTGCGACACCTGCATGCTGTACCGGTGAGCATGGCGCGTGCGTGCTCTCCTCATTCCCAGAGCCTTTATTCAAATAGCCTTTATGAGAGAGCCTTCATCTTCTTCTCTTCTGTGTCTACAGACGCAATTTTGGATCCGCGCCTTTTTTCCCCCATCCACCCCCCTCCATCCGGGAGCTGCTTCCGCTCCAGCATCACACAAAGTTCTCCTCCCGCATCCCCTCTCCCGCCACCCCGTCTTCCTGTGCGCGGCAGGCCGCCGCGGTGTTCGCACTGCAGCATCTGCAACAACTGCGTGGAGAGATTCGACCACCACTGCCCCTGGGTGGGCCAGTGCATCGGCAAGGTGCGCGCTGCAGGGGGGTATTGGCGCGTAGTGCACAGGCAGGGGGAGGGGGGAGGAGGGAATAGGCACGTGCAGGGGCAGGTAGAGAGGTGAGGAGGGGGAGAAGCCACGGCAGTGCAGAGGCAGGGGAGAGCCGGACTTGGCAGCCCACACTTCATAGGGCGCATAACGAGGCAGCCTTTTGGTTCTCACGTGCAGCGGCAGGGGGGGAGAAGCGGAAGCCACGCCAGTGCAGAGGCAGGGGAGGAAGGGAGTTGGGACCAGACACCAGGCACCAGGCACCAGGCACCAGGCACCAGGCATTAGGCACTTCATAGGTCGCGTTATGAGTTAGTCCTGTTTCTCACCCTTCATTTGCATGCTATTCTGCTGAACTGTTATCTCTCCTCCACCACCCAACCACCCTCGCCTCTCCGTCCTCCCATGCCCTGCCCCCCGTCCATCCCTGCAGCGCAACTACTGCTTCTTCTTCCTCTTCGTGTGCTCCACCACAGCGCTCTGCCTTTTGAGTCGACTCAAAAGTCCCTTTTAAAAAACTTCCTTCCCCCCCCCCCCCCCCCCCCGGTCAATCCCTGCAGCGCAACTACCGATTCTTCTTTCTCTTCGTGTGCTCCACCACGGCGCTCTGCATCTATGTCTTCTCACTCTCCGCCTACCTCATCAAGGTACCTCTCGCTGCCATCCCTCCTGCTGCTCACTGCTGCCCCTCTTGCTACTCATTTCCGCCCCCCTGCTGCTCATTGCCGCCCACCTGCTGCTCATTGCCGCCCACCTGCTGCTCATTGCCGCCCACCTGCTGCTCATTGCCGCCCACCTGCTGCTCATTGCCGCGCTTCTGCTGCTCACTGCCGCCCCTCCAACTGCCCAGAACTCACTATGCCCGTCTTTTCTGTTGCTCCTTCCTTTTCACCACTCCACCAACCCACTACGATCTAACCACTCGCACCCGCCCCATCCCCTGCCCTCACCGCGCAACCCCCGTTCCTGCCCGTGCCTCCGCCAGGTGCTCATGGACAATGCGTACGAGCCGGGGGGGGAGATGCGCACGGTGTGGCAGGCGCTGGGGCAGGCGCCCATGGCGGCCGTGCTCATGGCGTACACCTTCCTCGCCGTCTGGTTCGTTGGGGGCCTCTCCGCCTTCCACCTCTACCTCATGTCCACCAACCAGGTCCGCCCCTCCCCCTCCTCGCCCCACCGTAAACCCAAAACCAAAACGTGAAAACCGAACTCAGAACCAGATTTTGAAAGACCAACAGATGTGCATGTCCCTTGCATCAACCACCTTGTTGTTGTGTGCCTTTCCTCCCGCCCCCCACCCCCTCGGCATGGCGCACAGACGACGTATGAGAACTTCCGGTACCGGTACGACAAGAAGGCCAACCCCAACAACCGCGGCATCATGCGCAACGTGTACGAGGCGCTCTGCTCGCCCATCCCGCCCTCCCGCAACCACTTCCGCGCCGACCTCCCCGACCCCTCCGCCCCCCAGCCCCCCACAGCCCCCTCCGACCCCCAACAGCCCGAGCTCTCCGCTGCCATCCCCCCTGCGCGGCGCCACAGCAAGGGGTCTAGGCCCGGGTCGAGAGGGTCGTCTGGGGGAAGGTCTCCTGCGCAGCGGGGGGGGAAATCGCCTGCGCAGCGGGAGTATGATTTGGTGGAGGTGACTAAATTGAGGGAGGACGAGGGGGGGCAATTGGCGGATCAAATCGTGGAGGCGGGCGGCGTGATGCCGTCTGGTGCGGGGGTGGCTCGGTCGGGGTCGAGAGATGGGTCCGGGCGGGAGGGTGGGGGGAGCGGGCGGAAGGGGGGGAAGAAGAAATCGCATAGTGGGAAGCTGAGGGAGAAGGGGGAGGGGCGGAAGGGGAAGCATAGAGATAGAGGAGAGGGGGATGGGGCAGGGGAGGGAGTGGAGGGGGCAGTGGGGGTTGGGGATGTGGTGGGAGGAGGGGGAGGAGGGATGGGGGGGCAAGTGGCAGTGGATCTGCAAGGGCAGGAGTACGTGCAGCGGAGGTACAGCCCCGTGCCCGACGTTCCTAGAGACGGGCTCTAGCCTCCTCTAGGAGCAGCAGACTGCTTGAGATGTCTCACAAGTTGCTCCTCCAAGGCATGAGCTGGGGATGCTGGTGCCCTGCTGCTTGAGACGGCTCAACACTCTGGCTCCAAGGCAGGAGCTCGAGGTGCAGGTGCAGGTGCAGGTGCAGATGCAGGTGCTCTGGCCACTGCGATTGGAGCCGTTTCAAGTGCAGCGACCCCAACTGTTGTGGCTTGCCCAGACAAGCATGGGCACCAGCCTCCAGGACGCTTCTTCTAACAGCCGGCCTCAACTGTTCATCATTCATTTGCATTGTCCTAACCACCATTCTGATACGTTGCCTTCTGCTGCTGCTGCCACTGCCTCCGCCGCGGCTGCTGCTGCTGCTACTGCTGCTGCAGCTGCTTCAGTGGGCAAGGCAAGGCAATAACATGCACCAGCGCATGCTTACTGTTGTGGTTGCCGCACTGATTGTGCCACAAACCGAGGTCTAGGGTATCTCGTAGGTCTAGTCTAGTGCACTGCCTCACTGGTGTTTTTAACATAGCAGCAAGTTCAGCTGGCGGCCGCTAATTCCATTCCTCCATGCCCCATCAGCACCGCTTGACTGCATGAAATGGGCTCTCTATGCTTTGCGAATTTTACCTAACTCATCATGCTTTTTTCGCCTAGAACCAAACTGACAATCAGCTATTTGTCTAGTCAACACCTATTAACAGCAATCTGCTTCCCCTATTTCCCTTATCTACACCACGCTTATTTTTTTGAATCCGCATACCTAGCACAGGGACTAGACCCTGGTCACAAGCCACTGTGGTCTATTTGGGAGGTGGGAATGTGATGTGATGTCAAGTCATGTCATGTCAGGGCAGGAACTTGGCGACCAGAGCTGCACTCTCCGCACACCTGAGGCATGCATGCAGGGGAGAGCAGGTAGGAGGCAAGGGGGAAAGGGGAGCATGAGAGGGGGGAGGAGAGCAGTAGCAAGGGGAGGAAGAGGGCAGGAAGTGGGAGATGAAGACTCAAAGACCGTTTGTCTGACCATTCTCAGGTGATCAAAAGCAGCTCAAGCCACTTGCACATCAAGGCCAACCCAGCAATCATCACATGTCACTATCACATGCCACCATCGTGCCACCATCATGCCACCATCATGCCACCATCATGCCACCATCATGCCACCATCATGCCACCATGACATGAAAGCAGCTCAAGCCACGCACCGCATGGGTTCGTTCCACAGCCGCTGAAACACTATCGTGTGCAGCCGGCTCTGCTGCCACCTGTCAACCCCCCATTGGTCGTACAGCCTCAGCCTCTCCCCCCGCCCCATCGCCGCCCGCACCGCCCGCATCACCGCCGCCCGCTGCTCATGCTCCTTCCTGGCAGCTTCCTCCAGCTGCACCTCCCCATCCAGCATCACCCCCAGTGTCTCCCCACACCCGTCCCCCCTCCCCCCTCTGCCTCTCCTCTCCGCGGCCTCACACTGTCTCTGCAACCTCTCCACCTCTACCAATACTGCTTCTGGCGACCACGCATCCATGCAGCTGTGCGTGCGATGCAGAGCGGTGCTGCTGGTGAGAGAGTGGTTCGCAGCAGCAGCAGCGGCAGGCCCGGCGGCACCGGCGGGGGAGAGGGAGAGGGAGAGGGAGAGGCGGTGGAAGGTGCGGGATCGCTCTCGCAGGTCCGTGTGGAGGTGCGACCACAGCGAGCACAGCTGCAGCACCGCTGCTGCTAGGGGGTCGGGGGAAAGGGGGAGGGGGAGGGATGGGGAGGGGGAGAGGCGCTGCAGGGGGAGGGGGGAGGCAGGGGAGATGGAGGGAGGTGGGGTGGTGGGGGTGAGGGCGAGGCGGAGAAGGGGGGGGATGGGAGGAGTGGAGGGGGAGGGGAGAGACAGGGATGAGGTGAGGGCGACGGCGGGGTGAAGGATGAGTGCACCCTCTTCTCCGCCCTCCTCCTCTGCACCTCTCCTTGCACCCCTCGTCCCGTCCCCCATCCCTCCCTCCGCCTCTCCCTCCCATGCGGCCGGATCGTTCTGAGCGCCCAACTCCAGTGCAGCAGCATTGCCCGATGCGCCACAGGTCTCTGCCGCAGCAGCACCACTTGGTGTGACAGCCGTGTGCGTGTGCGTGTGATGCTCATCGTCCCACAGCAGGCAGTCCCACGCGCCCACCACCTCCCACACCACACTGCTCATCCGCCCCTTCCTTCCACTGCCGCCCCTGCTGCTGCTCCCAGATTCCGCCTCAGCAACACCTGCCAGCTCAGCAGCATCTGCCACCTCAGCAACACCTTCGAGCTCAGCAGCACCTGCCAGCTCAGCATCAGGCACAGGCTGCTCCAGCAGTACAGCTCCTCCCCAACCACTCGCCTTGCCTTGAGCACCCTCCACCGCCTCTGCCTCTGCTGATGCCTCCCCTGGCGCCTCTTCCTCCCCGACCTCCTGCCTTGCACCTACCTCATCACCCACCTCCCCTTCGCCCTCCTCCTTGCACTCACCCTCCCCTTGGCCCTCCCAGATCACGTCCGTGCTGTGCTGCAGCAGCCACTGCGCCATCTCCCTGTATGACAGCCCGCCACCAACCCCCTCCTGCCCCTCCTGCTCCTCCTGCCCCTCTGCCTCCGCTGCATGCTGCCCCTCCATGCCGCTCTGCACCGCATCCAGCTCATCCGATTCCACTGCCAAGCCCCGCTTCTCGCCAGCGCCCCCCATAAGCGCCGCCAACTGCTGCCACAACTCGCCCTCCCCTTCACTCCCCTCCTCTGCACCCCCCTCTGCCACCACCACTCGCTCTCGCCCATCCTCCACCTCCCCATCCTCCCACTCCCCACCTTCTTGCTCCAACTGCAACAGCATGTCAACACCCCAACCTCTCTCTCCCAACTTGTCCCAAACCCCCTCGTGACTCTCGTCCGCCCCATCCCCCCCATCCCCCCCTTCCCCCGCGTCTCCCCCCATGAGCGCGCGCAGCAACTCCAGATCCACCGCGTCTCCCTCTAACACCGCCTCAGCACGTCCGCCCCCTTCTGTGCGCGCTGCTTCTCCCCCTACTACCACCCCCGCGTCCCCTTGGCAAGTGGCGTGCGGGGGGGAGGGAGGGCGGGGGGAAGAAGGGGAGTCCGCGAGGAGGAGGGGGGGAGGGGTGCCATGTGCTGCGCATGCAGCCCCTGCTGTCGCCGCCGCTGCTGGCGCTGGCGCTGGTGATGCGGAGGGGGATAGCGACCGGGGGAAGGGGGACGGGGAAGGGACGGGCGGAGAGGAGGGGCGGTGAGGGGGCGAGGCGGGGAACGGAGGGGCGGAGTGGGCGGAAGCAGAGGTGCGGGGAGAGGGGAAGAAGAGAGCAGGGGAAGTGGATAGATAGTTGGGGGAGGAAGGAGGGGAGGACGGACGATACGCCAACGTGGCAGCTGCGATGGCTGCTGACGTGGCAGACGCGAAGGGGATGTGGGCGAGCGGTGCAGTGCGGTGCAGTGAGGAGGAGGGGGAGAGCAGGCGCACAGGCAGCAGCAGCCTGCGGGGCCTCCTTCTGCCGGGGCGAGTGCTGTGATGCACGTGGTGTAACTGCGCTCGCGTTCTCTGCCCTTTCCCATCCACCTGCCCCTCATGCTGCTGATGCGCCTGCTGTCCCCCCTTTCCCGCCTCACCAACCCCAGCATCGCTCCCCTTTATGCTGCTTCCTATCTGTCCTTCCCCCTTCTCCACCTCCCAACCTTCCGCCACCAGCGCCACTCTCCCCCACTCATCCGCCCCCAGCACCCACTCACCCCCCCCGCCCGCCCCTGCCCCCTGCGCTCTCCGCCGCTGCTGCTCCACGGCGCACCATGTAACCACGGACTGGTTACCACACAGCAACGGGTCTGCAGGTACACGGCGTCACAAGGTAACACAGGGGGGTATAAAGCGATGCGATAAATGGTGTGTGATGAGGTGGGCATTGTGGGGCGCCCGTGATTGCACCACCGCGTGCAGCACTCACCCGCTGCAGTGCGCACAACCAACACTTGCCCAGCGCATTCGCGCACACCCCACCCGCGGAGCAGCACACGCACCTCGAATGTCAGGAGCTGCGAGCGCGGAGGGCGCAAGGTGCGCGGGGCGCTGGGGGGGGATGGTGGCGGCGGAGGGCGGAATATGCAGCGGCTGCTGCTGCAGGTGGCGGCGCACCTTTCCCCAATACCGCTGCGTCTTGCTGTACCGCGTCCCCCGCGGCCCGCCTGCTCCGTTAGGGGATTTTTTGAAGGGGAGAGGGGTGGGAGGAGGGAGTGGGAGGAGGGAATGGGAGGGAAACGGAGGGGTAGGGGGATGGAGTTGTGAGGAGATGGAGTCGGGTAGGGAAGAGGGTGGAGGAGACAAGGGGAATGGAGGATGGGAAGGACACGAGCTGGTGAACGGGACAAGGAGAAGGCCGGGAGAGAATGAAGAGAGGGGAGAGTGGGGAGGGGGAAGGGGGGAGCGGGGGAGAGCGGGGGAGAGCGCGGCGGACCGTTGTGCGCCTTGGCGAGGAGCTCCCAGTCGAGCGTGCGGATGGCGTGCGGGCAATAGCGCATCCAATACGACACCACCGTGTCCTCCGCGTGCCCCAGCTCCCTGCCGCCACCCGCCATGCCGCAAGCCGCCACGCCGCCATTCCGCCATGCCAGCACGCCGCCATGGGAAGAGGGAAGGGAAGATGGGAAGTTAGGCGTCAAGTTGCAAGAATGGCGGCCATGCACAGCGATTCAACAGCCGGATTAGTATATATCGCTAGCCGCTAATAACCGTCACTTACAGCTAATGCCACTAATGAACCACGGTTCCGCTAATACTGCTCATACCCGCTAATAACGCTAATACCGCTCGTACGGTCAATAGCGGCTATTACCGCTAATAGCCGCTGGTACGGTCAATAGGCGTTAATACCGCTAATAGCCGCTAATACCGCTAATAGTCGCTAATACCGCCAACAGCCGCGCTGCGAGCATCACCTGCACTGCGACCACGGTCCCGTCAGCGGGCCCCACGCGTCGCGATGGTACTCCTCCGATATCTGCAGCGGCCCGATGCTCTTCCCGTTATCGCCGTCAGGGCAATTCACCCTGAAAAATGTGCGCGGAAGAAACGACGGAAATAGGAGCTTAAATGAGGAGAAATGGGAGGGCGGAGAGCGCCGGCGCGAGGAAGGGATACAAAGCCTACGGTCGTTCACAAGTCACGCTGCATCTGGTTCGCACCTGTTACTCGACTCGACGAATCTAAGCGCGTTAAGCAGCGGCCGCAACTGCCGCTTGGTCTCTTCAACCACGTGACGCGGCACCGAGTAGTCAGCCCCCTCCCTCCGTCGCACGCTGCCGCGAGATCCGCTACGCAAAGCGGCGCCGCCAGGCACGCCGCAACTCGCGCCGATGCCCACGGAGGAGTCGGGGAAGGTCGTGTGGAGCCATACCCCGTGCCGCGTCAATACCACTTGCGGCGTTGTCGATTCCCCGTCGCCATCCCCACCGCCGCTGCTGCTGTTGCTCGGCATGGCAGGCTGGCGGAGGCGACTACGCGCCGCGACTTAAACGACACTTCAGGAACACATTTTGATAATGGATCTCGTATATTTAGAAAATAAAACCTAGAAATTTCCGGCCAATGCCGTTTTCTTGCTTCAGATAATGTCAAGCACCGCCGTTATCTAATGTCCACTCAATACCGCAGTGCGCCACTCGACCCAGTACGCTTCGGATACTCGCCAGATTCCCTGTCGTTAGGAAAACAATACCGACTACGAGCAGGAAAGAAAGAGTGCATGTGATATCAGGCGCGGTGATAGCGGAGGAGAGGGATCGACTTGGTTGGGATGGGAAGGATGGAGGTGAGGCGAGGCGCAGGGGGAAATCGAGAGGGTGGTTGGGAGGGAGGAGAAAACCGAGGGTGCTTTAGTTCTTCGTTCTGCCCGGCAACTTGCGCGAGATTTCCCTTTCTTTGCATCCACCAATCTTCCCAAACCAACGGGCCCCCCAATCAATCACATTTCGCCAGGCTCGCCCCAACCAAGCCGCCCCTCATGCGAGCCCCTACTGACCAACAAGACTGCTCTCCTATTGGTCATTGGAACTGCCGAGCTTCGAGTGCTGGCTCGAGAAGTGTAATTTCAAGTTGCTGGTGGTTGATTGTGGTTCGGACCCCGTTGGAGCAAACCTCGAGGAAGATTCATGCTTCCGAGGAGCCTTGGGAGTGGCTCGGAGCCTTGCGAAGGCGTGACGAACCTGAGGGCGCAGCACAACAAATCAAATTTGTTCTAGCCGCCGAGCCAAGATTTCTAAACTCGAATGCTGTTCTTTCGGTGCCTTCGACATAAGAACCCTAATTTGGTTGAGGGCCCAGAACCCCAGATTCCAGGTCAACCCCATAAATCGCGCCCTCTCCTCAGCACTCAAAATCGCAAGTTGATCTAGGTCGCACTCATTGAGACAACGCATTGCACGGGTTTCCTCCCCATGGCGGCCGAGCCTCACGGCCGGTACCTTTTCGCGGGCGACGTGGAAGGTCGCCTGAATCTGCTGTTCAAACGAGCCGCTGCGGTGAGTCGCCGTGGCGGTGCTGCCATTGGGGAATCTCGCGATTAGGAAATTCGTTGTCCGTTCCGCGCAAACCTATAATTCGAGGAACAAATATCCCGTGTGTCCAAGGGTCTCTGCCATAATACGCTCTAATTCATCCACCTCTTCGCCGCTCCACCAATCGCAGGTGAACAAGTCCAACGGTCCTTTCGACTGTCTCTTCTGCGTCGGCGCTTTCTTTCCGCCCTCGGATCCCGCTACCGCCGCCGCAGGCGGAGCGGGCGGCCAATCAGAGTTGGAGGATTACATCGCGGGGCGCGCCAAGGCGCCGCTTCCGACGTTCTTGATTGGCGACATTGGAGTCGGCGCGCAGCGACTGCTGGAGATTGCTGTGCGTGGAGGAGGAGGGGCGGCGACGCGAAAAGAAGGGGAAGCAGCGGAGGAGAAAGTGAAAGAGGAAGGAAAGGAAGAACAGAAGGAGGAAGCAGAAGAGGGAGGGAAAGGGGAGGGGGAGGAGAAAGGGGAGGGAGAGGACAAAGGTGAGGGGGAGGAGAAAGGGAAAGGGGAAGAGACACGGGAGGGGGAGGGGGATGGAAGCAAAGCGGTCGGTGAAGCAGGGGAAGGGGAGGAGAGCAAGGGGGAGGTTGGGGCGGGCACGCAAGGAGGGGGGTCAGGGGGAGGCGAGAAAGAGGAGGATGAGGAGGTGGGGGAGGGGGAGTGGCGGTCGCACAGGCGCGTGAAGATATGTGACAATATCGAATGGCTGCGCGGAGCAGGCATTGCTGACCTGTGCGGTGCGTGTGTGGACTTTCAAACAAAACCAGTGGCCGATCATTGATCGTGTGTCGTCATACTGTGCGCTCTCTGCTTTGATTCCAAAGGCCAGATGAAGCCGTCCCCTCTCTGCCTGCCTCCTGGATCCAATCCGCCCTACCTGTCTTCCACCCCGCCCCTTCCCTCCCTGTTCCGCCCCACAGGCCTCAAGGTGGCCTATCTGGGCGGCAGATACGATCCCGCCACGTACCTCTCGGGGCAGGCGGGCGGCACGGGGGCAGCGGAAGGGCGGCAGGAGCGGGCGGCAGTGGAGGCGCTGGTGGATGCGGGGGCGGACGGGGCGGCAATAGACGTGCTGCTGACCAATGAGTGGCCCAAGGGGGTCGCTGCTCTCACCCACCCCTCCCTGCTGCCCTCGCCTCCACCCGCCACGTCAGCGTCGGCGCCTGCCAGCGTGGACTGGGCGGGGGTGGGGTCGCCTGTTGCTGCCACGCTGGCCAAGGAGCTCATGCCACGGTGAGAGGAGGGGGGGAAAGGGAGAGTGGAGGGGTAGAAAGGGTGGAATGGGTGGGGTTGTTGTTGGGTGGGAACGTGCAAGCCCCCATGTGCATGCTCGCTCGTGCAATCGAGCGGCATGCGTGCAGCTGCTTGCACCATCGTCACTCCCACCCACATGCCTCTTGTATCCATTGATTCTGCACCCACCATCAGCCCTCTCTCTCTCTCCCTCTCTCTCTCTGCCGCCCAGCTACCACGTGGCTGGTGGCGCGGGCGCCTTCTTTGCCCGCCCGCCCTACATCAACTCCTCCGCCGCCACATCAGCAGAAGACGCCTCCACGTCAGCATCCGGCCCCGTGACGCGGTTCATAGGTCTAGCCCCGGTGGGCAACAAGGCGAAGCAAAAGTTCCTCCACGCGCTCTCCCTGCGCCCCGCCTCCTCCCTCCCCCTCTCCGACCTCGCCGCCCGCCCCCCCGATGCCACCCCCTCCCCCTTCCTCCCCCGCCCTACATCCGCCAAGAATCAAATCTGGACCGGCAGCCTCGCCGCCCCTGACGGTGCCGCCCGGGCTGCTGCCGCCGCCGCCCAGGCGAAGGCGGAGGAGACCGCTGCGAAGCGCACCTTCTGGGAAAGTTCCGACGGGGGGAAAGGAGGGGGGGAGGGGGCGGTAAAGCCTGCATGGGCGCTAAAGGTGGAGGAGGAGGAGGCGCGGGGGGCGGGGGGGGCGGGGGAGGGGGAGCAGTACTGGCGGTACGCTGCCGGGAAGAAGAGGGCACGGCGGGACGGTGGGCCGGGGGGAGGGGGCAGGGAGGGGCCTCAGGTGTGCTTTGAGCTGTCAGGCAAGGGGGTGTGCTCGCGGGGCGATGCATGTCGGTTCATGCACACTCTAGAGGACGGGTCACCGCTGCCTCGCAACCTGTGCTTCGAGCACTTCAGCAAGGGCACCTGCAGCCGGGGCACGGACTGTCGATTCAGACACTCGCTGGCGGGTGGGGAGGCGGGGGGAGGAGCGGGGGAGGGGCAGGGGGGAGGCGGGAATGCTGCTGCTGGCTCTGTTGCTGCTGCCGTTGCGACGGCTGCTGCTGTTGCTGCTGCCGCTGGCGTGGGGGGCAGCAGTGGCGGAGCAACAGACCTGCCCAAGGGCGTGTGCTTTGACTTGGTGCGGCAGGGCAGCTGCACTCGCGGCGACACCTGCCGCTTCGCCCACTCGCTGCCCTCCACCTCGCCCGGCCTCCTCGCCACTCCCCCTCCCCTCACCCCCGCCTCCCTCGCCGCACTGCTTGCCCCGCCTGCAGCAGGGGCCCCGGCAGGGGGCGCAACGGGGGGAGCTGGGGGAGCAGGGGGAGCAGCGCCCCCCACCCCAGCGCCATGCTGGTTCTGCCTGGCGTCCCCCAAAGTGGAGACTCACCTGGTGGTATCGGTGGGCGAGCACTGCTATGTCGCCCTACCCAAGGGTCCCTTAGTGCCCGGCCACGTGCTCATCCTCCCTATAGAGCACTTCCCTAGCGTCATCTCGCTACCATCCGACGCGCTGGCGGAGATGTGGCGGTACATGGGAGCCCTGAGGAAGTGCTTTGCGGCGCAGGGGCACACCGTGGTGGCGTTTGAGCGGTTCCTGCAGCTCAGAGCCGCCACCCACGCGCATGTCAATGTGAGTGGGAGCGTTTTGGACGATCTAAAGAGGATTAGCTGCGCATTGCAGGTGGTGCCATTCCTCCTGGCACATGGCATTGCACGTGGTGCCATTCCTCCTGGCACATGGCGCTCCCTGCCTGCTGGTGTTGATGTGACTTGGCCCCTCACCCACCTCCAATGCGCTCTCCCATCCTTTCTTCCCCACTGCTCACTCCTCTTCCCCCTTTGCTCACCATGCGTGCATACATGGCAGGTGGTGCCCATCCCCCAGGACAAGGCGGACCAGGTGTTACCTGCCTTCACTGCCGCTGCTGCCTCCCACAACTTCCAGTTCGCCTCCGTGCCAAAACCACCTGGTAAACCACCTGAACTCCTAAGCACCATTGTTAAAACACCTGGTAAAGCACCTGGGCTCGAAGCCAAGGTGGATGCACTGGAACCCATAACATTGGTCGTGTGTGACCGTCTGGTCGTGTGTGACCGTCTGGTCGTGTGTGACCGTCTGGTCTCTCCTTCCTCGCACCTCCATGCCTTCTTACCTTCTCGCCTCTCCCCACTCCTGGCGCCAACCCATCTCCCTTCCCCTGCACACAGCAGACGGACAGCACATGGCGGTGGTGGGCGAGGTGAAGAAGCAGAGCCGCGGCGGGCAGTACCTCACAGTGGAGCTGCCCGATGCCTCGCTGCTCGTGCACGCCATCGACCGCGGTGCCAAGCTGCCCATGCAGCTGGGGCGCGAGGTGAGGGGGGGTTGGGCGAGTGGTGAGACGCGGGCGGGAGAGAGGTGTTGCGCAGGTGGGGAGGAGGTGAGGCTTTGCATGTAAGCAGGCCATGCTGCCGTGACACCTGCTTCTCTCTGCCTTGCCCCCCCATGTGTGCCTCGCATGCATTAACCCCCCAACCACATGCCCCCCCCTACCTCATGCCTTCCCATCTCTACCTGTGATGGCAGGTGGTGGCGGGGGTGGTGGGGGTGCCGGAGAGGGGCGACTGGAGGGCGTGCAAGGAGACAGCGGAGGAGGAGGCAGCCATGGCTGACGCATTCAAAAAGCAGTTCCAGCCGTTTGACATCATGGGGTGACCACTTGACTTGATGACCTATCCACCTGTTTTGACAGCATGGGGTCATAGCAACCATTTTGACATAGTGAGGCGTTTAGGGGAGATGCCTTGGAGATAAGCAGGTCCACGTGTGTCACAGCATGGGCTCGCCCCCTTGAGGCCGAGTGCATGTGTCCAAGCTTCATCAACGCAATACAAGATTTCATTTACCAGAACGTACAGCGACGAAAATAGAGCATCAATACAATGCAATGATACGGAAACAAACAGCTACAAGGCACGAGGCGCAGCCTAGAAGTTGTCCTTCATGCGCCGGAGAGCTGCAAAGACGTCAACGTCTGCGGCATCACTGTTCATGTGCAATGACTGGCGGATCTCAGTGCTGGCGGTGCGCAGGAAGGGGTTGGTGGCCGCCTCCCCGCCCACTGTGGTGGGGATCTGGCGAGGCGGGGGAGAGGGGGCGTGGGAAGAGTTTGGGCGGATTGGGGGTGGGTAAATGGGCAGGTGGGTGGATGGGGGGATGGGCAGAGGTGGGCAGAAAGGTAGTGCAGAAGAGGAGGCAGGAATGACATGCACATGCACATGCACATGTGGCAGATGAATGGGCGGAGAGGGGGATGGGGCTCACAGTGGGCAGCGATTGGGATCGCAGGCGGGTGATCTCATGCACCCGCTGCTGCAGGGCGGCGTTGTTTGGCTCCACTGCCATTGCAAACCGCGCATTGGCCTGTGTCGTTTGGGACACCCATAAACCCATCACAGACACACACCCACACATAACACACACAAGACATGACCAGAAAAGTTCCGTGTTGCAAATTCAAGTTATGAAACATCAGAAACACAAATTCAGAGAAGGTAAAAGGGAAAAGGAGCACAGAGGGTTTCACCTGTGTGTACTCATGGCCGCAGTACACCTTCGTGTCGGGCGGCAGCGACGCCAGGCGGGAGAGAGATGCCCACATCTGCTCGGGGATGGGGAGAGAGGGGGTGAGCTGTGGACTGGAGGCGAGGGGATTGAGGGAAGCGGGGGAGGGGGGAGGAGGGAGGGACGAGGGAACGATGGGGAGGGAAGCAGGTGTGGGCACGGGGAGCAGGTGTGGGCACGGGGAGCAGGTGTGGGCACGGGGAGCAGGTGTGGGCACGGGGAGCAGGTGTGGGCACGGGGAGCAGAAGGCAGGCAGCACAGGGCAGCGCGGATGGCAGCACAGGGCAGCGCGGATGGCAGCACAGGGCAGCGCGGATGGCAGCACAGGGCAGCGCGGATGGCAGCACAGGGCAGCGCGGATGGCAGCACAGGGCAGCGCGGATGGCAGCACAGGGCAGCGCGGATGGCAGCACAGGGCAGCGCGGATGGCAGCACAGGGCAGCGCGGATGGCAGCACAGGGCAGCGCGGATGGCAGCACAGGGCAGCGCGGATGGCAGCACAGGGCAGCGCGGATGGCAGCACAGGGCAGCGCGGATGGCAGCACAGGGCAGCGCGGATGGCAGCACAGGGCAGCGCGGATGGCAGCACAGGGCAGCGCGGATGGCAGCACAGGGCAGCGCGGATGGCAGCACAGGGCAGAGCGGATGGCAGCACATGGCAGCGCGGATGGCAGCACAGGGCAGCGCGGATGGCAGCACAGGGCAGCGCGGATGGCAGCACATGGCAGCGCGGATGGCAGCACAGGGCAGCGCGGATGGCAGCACAGGGCAGCGCGGATGGCAGCACAGGGCAGCGCGGATGGCAGCACAGGGCAGCGCGGATGGCAGCACAGGGCAGCGCGGATGGCAGCACAGGGCAGCGCGGATGGCAGCACAGGGCAGCGCGGATGGCAGCACATGGCAGCGCGGATGGCAGCACAGGGCAGCGCGGATGGCAGCACAGGGCAGCGCGGATGGCAGCACATGGCAGCGCGGATGGCAGCACAGGGCAGCGCGGATGGCAGCACAGGGCAGCGCGGATGGCAGCACAGGGCAGCGCGGATGGCAGCACAGGGCAGCGCGGATGGCAGCACAGGGCAGCGCGGATGGCAGCACAGGGCAGCGCGGATGGCAGCACAGGGCAGCGCGGATGGCAGCACAGGGCAGCGCGGATGGCAGCACATGGCAGCGCGGATGGCAGCACAGGGCAGCGCGGATGGCAGCACAGGGCAGCGCGGATGGCAGCACATGGCAGCGCGGATGGCAGCACAGGGCAGCGCGGATGGCAGCACAGGGCAGCGCGGATGGCAGCACAGGGCAGCGCGGATGGCAGCACAGGGCAGCGCGGATGGCAGCACAGGGCAGCGCGGATGGCAGCACAGGGCAGCGCGGATGGCAGCACAGGGCAGCGCGGATGGCAGCACAGGGCAGCGCGGATGGCAGCACAGGGCAGCGCGGATGGCAGCACAGGGCAGCGCGGATGGCAGCACAGGGCAGCGCGGATGGCAGCACATGGCAGCGCGGATGGCAGCACAGGGCAGCGCGGATGGCAGCACAGGGCAGCGCGGATGGCAGCACATGGCAGCGCGGATGGCAGCACAGGGCAGCGCGGATGGCAGCACAGGGCAGCGCGGATGGCAGCACAGGGCAGCGCGGATGGCAGCACAGGGCAGCGCGGATGGCAGCACAGGGCAGCGCGGATGGCAGCACAGGGCAGCGCGGATGGCAGCACAGGGCAGCGCGGATGGCAGCACAGGGCAGCGCGGATGGCAGCACAGGGCAGCGCGGATGGCAGCACAGGGCAGCGCGGATGGCAGCACAGGGCAGCGCGGATGGCACCTGGGAGGGCAGCGCGGATGGCACCTGGGAGGGCGAGCCTTCAAAGAGGCGGCCGCAGCCGAGGGAGAAGAGCGTGTCGCCCGTGAACAGCGCTGCCAGGGCCGGGAAGTAGAGCGCGCAGTGGCCTGGTGGGTTAGGGGGAGAGAGAGGAGGGTGGGGTTGAGCCCATGGATGAGAGGAAGATTAGCAGAATGGAGATGGAGGAAGGAGATTAGGAAGAGGACGAGGGGAGTGGAAGGAGTGTGAAAATCAAGCGTATAATTCGATGCGTAATACTTATGCAGGCATTGACTGTGGTGAGGAGCACTCACTCACTGACATACACTCACTCACTCTGCTCACTGTCATTCCCAGGTTCCCTGCAGTGCCTCTCACGGCTGAGCATCCCCCCTACCCTCTCCCCCTCCCCAGGTGGCACGGTTGTACCTCTGGTGTGACCGGGGGTGTGCAGCACGTGCATTTCTAGCCCCTCAAACTGCCACGTGTCACCATCTGACAGCGCCACGTCAATGCCTGGAATGCGATCCCGGTCAGCAGCAGGGCCAACCACCTGCGGCAGGGAAGGGCACGCAGGGGTTGTGGTGAAAAGCAACGGGTGAGGAATCATTGGGTGAGAAATGATGGGGAGGGGAGCAACGAGTGTGTGGTGATGTGATGTGCGAGGGAGCACAATCGGACGCAGACGGCCACAAGGGCCCACCTACCGTGGCGCCGTATTTGTCCTTTAGCGTCAGATTGCCGCCCGTATGGTCCCAGTGGTGGTGCGTGCACAGCACAGCCGCCAGCTTGCCGCCCGCCCCCCCTTCCGCCAGTCGCGCCTCCACGGGCGCGGCTTCTGCGGGGTCGACGACGAGCGCGGCGCCGGTGGCGGCATTGCGGAGGAGGTAGGCGTAGTTGTCCGTGAGGCACGGCACCAGCTCCACCTGCCACGCGCTGCTCTCGCCTCCCCGCGCGGCCCCCGCGCCCGCCTCCCCGGATGCATGCGCGTCCGCACGACCTGCGCAACGCAGCCCCCTGGCTCCCCTGCTCTGTTTCTGCGCGTCGCGGAGATTGGTCCGTGCTGGCGTGGCGGTGGCGAGTGGGAATTGCTGGGCAGGAGAGGAGATGGCGTAGGTGGCGCGGTGGGTGAGCGACGAGGAAAGCCGGCTCGCCAGAGGCTGTAGCGACGATTCGCGAGGAACTGATTTCGACGAGGATTGGCTTCGGCGGTCCGTGCGGCTTCGCGTAAAAACGGTTGCGCTGGTTGCCCACAGGTCCGCGCCTCTGGCTGTAGGGACGGGCGCAGGGATGTGCGCAGCCATGGGCGCGGGAATGACTGGGGAAAAGGCGCGCGGAAGGATGAGCAAGGCACACGGCCGGAAGGCAGAAACGAAGGGCGCTGTGATTGCGGAGCGAAGCGGCATTGTGTCGCGGAAAGGCGAGTTGAGATTGTGCGCTTGAGGAAGGGGGTGGGAGTGGAGTGAAGTGATGAGCAGATAGGGCGAATCCGCGGCTGCACCCATACGCATTTAGAGGGGCTCAATCTTTGCACAGGTAAGTGCAAACAATAAGTTCCTACTAAACATGCAACCCGCACTAATTACTTTTAGGGCTGAAATTCCGCATCTACACTCTTACGACCACAAACAGCACCCCAAACATTTTATTGATGTATTCCTTGGTTGGAGCAACACGGACCTAATTTACAAAAAAAAAAGGCCAAGCGCCTAAAGCTTGGTCAGAACAGCCTTCAGAGCATTCTTGAACGTGCCATTGCTGCAACCCCTCTCTGCAGCTTTACTCCTCCCCAGCGGCAGTGGAGGCAGCTGCAGACACCGATTGAGTGCCGAGCCTTGACTGAGTGCCGAGCTTCTGGGTGCCGGTGCGCTCCTTGCTGGTGCCGCCCGACGAGTAAGACGGCACCGAGAACCAGCTTGTGGGTGGCCCGTCGTACGAGTCGATCGCCAGCTGGCTCGCCGCCCACCCAGCCCGCCCCTCCACGCCGTCCCGCACGACCCACACGTTGCGGTAGCCTAGAGAGGCCAGCGACCGCGCCACCTGCTTTGAGATCTCATTGTCGCTGCAGGGAGGAGACAGGTGACATTGGAGAGGGAAGGTTGGGGGCAGGGATGGGGGGTGTTGAGAAGCCAACAGAGAAGGGAAGGCTGAAGGGAGGTCAAGATCAGCAGAGGATAGGTGATAAGCTGATAAGTTGGGAGTTCAGTGTGGGAGGGAATCAGGGTTTGAACCCCAAAAATACACAGCATAGGCAGAGGAAAGGGCAGGGAAGGAGGCAGGGAGGGCACTGACTTGTCGATGACGATGAGTTTAGCGCGGCGGCCAATTCTCTTGAGCGACGCCACCTTGATGGCTGTGAGCTCCGCCTCCGTGTCCAAGGGGTTCTTCAGCTGGTCGCGCAGCTCCACTGGCACCTCCTCCACTCTGACAAGGGATGGGAAGGACAGGGGAGGAGAAAAGGATGTGTTGAGTGAATGTTGGTTTTGTTGTGTAGCGTTGCCTGTTTGTTTGAACTGCGACCCAGCATCCGTTCTTGCTTTCTAGTTTGCTATAAGGGGGTTAGGGTGCAGGCACTCTGTGTGAGGGGTGTATACTGGGGTCAAAGCAGTGCGGAGGGACTGAAGCTGTAGGGAGCAGAGAATAGAGTGAGGAAATGGTACAGTGCAGCTGCACGGCATGACACTCACGGGACGTAGATGATTTTGCGGGAGAGCCCACGGGGCAGAGAGGGCACGCCGGAGGAGAGCTTCTGGTCCTCTGAGCGCACGTCCACGAGCACGCTCTCCTCCCTCTCCAACACGTCCAACGCCTGCGCTGCCGTCAGCTCGCCTGCAAGGGAGGGGGAAGGAGGGGAAGGGGCAGGAGGGAGGGAGAAAATGGGGGGTTGGAATGTGGCGAAGGGGGGACAAGCGGGGTCGTTGGGTTGAATAAGGGGGACACGAGGGCGCACTGGTGGAAGTAGTAGTATGAGTGGGAGAGAGTGATTTTGAGAGCAAATGAGATGGGGACGGGGAACGGCAGAGACAGCGAAAGCAGCAGCAGAGGTGGCGGCGGCGGCGGCTGCAGCAGCAACAGCAGCATCAGTGATCGCACCTGCGTAGCCGCGGAAGGAGTAGGCGATGCCGCGGCCGATGGAGGGCAGCAGGAGGTACAGCCCGAAGAGCCCGCCCGCGGCGATGGAGAGCGCGGTGGGGTCGGCGGAGCTGATGAGGTCCACCGTGCTCGTCGCGTACGGCGTCACCGCCGTAATCGCGCGCCCCGTGCTGTCGGTCACGCCGTCCGCCACGCTCGCCGCCGTCTGCGCGCCGATAGCCGCACGGGAGGCGGTGGGGGGGCGGTTACGGGGGGAGGTAAGATGGGGGCCAGGATGAGTGGAGACATGGGAGGCAATCGCGACGGCGAGCCAGTGAAAAATGGGCTGGCGAAGATGGGGGCTTGCGCGGGACAGTATTGCGGTTGTTGATTTGCCCATACGACGGCAGCAGTGCGGCCACGTCAGGTGCTCATTCCCCACCGATGGCTGCGTGCTCAGTGTCTCTCGTTATCTCTCCCTTTCAAGATGCTGGGTCCTGTGTTCATTCCATGCTTCGTATTCTCAGTCGCCCTCTTTCCCGCACTCCCCTATAGGTTGGCCGTGCGGCTCTATTACAGCCTTAACAGTTTTAGCAATACGATCAAGGCTGTCTACGCATGCTTGACTCGTGCAGCGCTGGTTCATCACGCGGCTGGCGCGAGTCAGAGGGCGTGCGTACCTCAGCACCGTGCATTGGCGGTCCTAATTCTACCTCAGCGGCTGTGAACGTACCCTGGCGGCCTCGACGACGGGCGCGACGTCGACGCCCGAGTCCTGCAGCGCCTTGGACGCCTTCTCCGCCAGGTCCGACGCCACCGGTGCCGCCGCCTTTAACGCCTCCTGCGCTCCCTCGATCACCACCGGCGCTGCCGCCTCCACCAGCGGCTTGGTGACGCGGACCACCTGCTCTGCCACGTCGATGCTCGTGCTGTACACCTTGGTTGCCAGGTCAGCAGTCTGCTTAGCCAGTTCTTCCACCTGGCCGATTTGAAGGAAGAGAGCGAGGAACCGAGGAAACGGGAGTCAGGGCGCGAAGGAAAGATAAAAAAATAAAGCCTTTACTAATCATTTTCAGACAGACAATTGATAGATTGTTACGAAATCGGAGACACAATGCCTGAGAAATTAAGGACGCGGTACATGCCTGGGCGAGTGTTTCTCGGACTTGGTCCGCGTCCACGGCCAACGCGGCATTTGCGGCCGTCAGTTGCGCCGTCAGAGCCACGGCCGCCGCCGCCACGCCAACCCTCTCCGCGTCCTTGTGCGCGCGCACGCTCACTCCCCTCCGCACGCCACATGGCTGCACCGCGACGCTCTTGCGCAACGACGCGCAATCCGCGGACTGGCTTCTAAGACCGGCAGCGCACGGCGACGGCTGCAGGTTCGCCTTTGCGAGGCACGATGCGCTGGCCATGATTAATCCGTAATGCACGGAGGGGATCGGCTCGTGGACTGACTGACTGGCAATTCAGCAATGCGATGCTGATGGCACACAGCAGTGACAGCAGCAAATGCTTTTGTGGAGGAAGGAGGTAGAAACAAAATGCCTCGAGATGGCGGGTTGGGGCGGAGGGCGGGTTTGGCCTGAAAAGCTGGCTGCATGCATTCTGGTTCCCGTGCGTGCGCCCCTGCCGAAAACCCGTCCGTAGTTGGTGGGGGCTGGACAGGGGGGGAATTGGGGCCTTGAGAAATGTTTCTGAATGGATTTGTGGCGGGAGATGATTCGCATGGCGGAAAAGGATTGGCCGTGCTGTGCTGGACCAATGGGGCACGACGAGAGGAGAAAGTTCCGAGGTCCAGTAGCTGAGGGACGGGAGGGGGATGGATGGTCAGACACGTGTCTAAAGTTATTCAGACAAGGCATCTGGAAACAGAGGCCCCGTTATGAGTCTTCAAAATGAACTCATTTGTTCTGTTCTTATGATGTCTGCTATGCTGGCTGGCTGCTTTCTAACCAGGAAGAGGCTGCTACTTCAGGTAATCAGTTCCATCATGCTTCTAGCATTCAATTATATCACCATCAGTTCACACATGATGGCATGCATTACCTAAAACTATACATATTCCAATTCATCCTTCTTATAGACCTTCAAACAGGTGAAGGTGGTCATCAAACGTCTCTCCCCTGCGAATCTTCTGGATCTTACCCTCCTCAGTAACCTGTGTAACACACCAACAAAAAAGCACTACCGTAGGTTATTCTGAAATGCACCACGGCAAGCCAAGCAGGAATGGGCAACAGGTGCTTGTATCAGAAAACAAGCAAGCCAAGCAACTGGGTTGCTCACCCAGTATTCAGGAGGGCGCATCTTGAGATTGTATGTGGAAGCCATGGCCATGCAGTACGCTCCAGCATCGTGCACCACAAGAGCATCCCCCTGTGAAGAGAGCAGCAGCACGTGAGGCACAATGACGCAGACTATAAAGAGAGCATATACGGTAAGCAACGTATGCAGCACCCAGACCAGGTCCCAGACTACTCCGTCACCAACCATGTTTTGTGCTGGGATGGGAATTCACCCATGGCTCCCCCCTGTCACCCACATCAGTGGCTGGCAGTAGCACTGACCTCAGCAGGTGTGGGCAGAGAGCGGGCCTTGCCGAGGAAGTCAGCGGACTCGCACACGGGCCCCACCACGTCAAAGCTTCGCTCCTCCGCCCCCTCCGGCGCCGGCGCCACCAGCTCTATGTGCTGCTCCCAGGGGGAATGGGGGAGGGCAAGAGGCAGGAGTTTAGGAGAGGCAGGCATGGAGCAAGCCGGAAGACAGGTAAAGGGAAATCGTGAGGATTGGAGGGAAGGTGTCAGGGTGGCGAGCTTGAGAGGAGTAGAATCCCTGTTTCCCGGCTCACTTGGTAGGCGTCGTAGAGGGCGGGGCGGATGAGCTCAGACATGGAGCCGTTGACGACGATGAAGTCCTTGCTGCCGTTGCTCTTCACCCCGATCACCCGACACACAAACGCCGCCGTGTTGCCGATCAGCGACCGCCCCGGCTCGATGATTAGCGTCAGCCCGCGGTCCGTCACTATCTCCCTCACCTGGTGTGGCGGTGCGGCATGTGGGCCATGGGAGTGGCAGAAGGGAAGGTGCACAACGGCTAATGATAAGTGCCAACGCAGCACGCGGTGAAAAACGGAGGACTGACATCGCAAGTGTGGCCCCAAACCCAGCGAACCCAATGAGCAATATGCGCAGGGGTGCAGTGAGAGGGAGTACACTGGATCAACATTTGAGAATCCTCAAAATGCGAACCCAACTCCTGAGCGTGTAAGAGAGGGAGGGCAGGCGGCTCACGGTGTCAATGAGGTCGGTGGGCGAGGGCAGCACGGCATTGGAGCGCGAGTAGTCGATGCCGAGTCCACCCCCGATGTTGAGGTACTGCACGGGGAAGCCCTGCGCGCGGATCTCGTCCAGATACCCCACCATGATGCGCGCCGCATCGCGGAACACGTTCACCTGCCACGCACATGGTGGGTGGGGGGAAGGGGGAAAAAGGGGGAGGAGGAATGGGTAGAGGTGGAGAGGGCAGCAGAAGAGGTGAGTATACATGGTGGCGGCGAGGCATGTGGAGGCCAGGCAACGAGCCGCATTGACAGACACGCACAGAGCAGCAGCTGTACTGTTCACTGTGCTGTTGTTTAAGACACACCGTGTTGCAAACAAGTTAGGACTGTGCTCAACGTTCGTGCTGCATACTACGAGCTTGCATTTCCGCCACCCAACAGCCCATTGAGCTGTGTCCGCTGTCCCTTGCTACCCCACCGGCGTACCTTGGTGATGGTGGACCCCAGGTGGCAGTGCGCACCTTGGTGATGGTGGACCCCAGGTGGCAGTGCGCACCTTGGTGATGGTGGACCCCAGGTGGCAGTGCGCACCTTGGTGATGGTGGACCCCAGGTGGCAGTGCGCACCTTGGTGATGGTGGACCCCAGGTGGCAGTGCGCGCCGACGAGGCGCAGCTTGCCCTCGCGCGCGCGGATCTGGTCGAGGAACCACCGCAGGCGCTCGTTGCGGATGCCGAACTTGCTGCTCTTGTTGCCCGTCGCCACGTACGCGTGCACCTGCGCGCACGACACCAACGCAGAGGGAGGGGGGAAAACGGGCAGGAGGGCGGAGGGGATAGTGAGTTAAGAGGAGTGGAGGAGAATGGATGTGTGAACGGGTTAGTGTGAGGTCACCAGTATGTGCTTCAACTCTCGAAGTGAGGTGGATGTCAACGACGCGTGCGTCTGAGACGTTCCTCGTATCACTCTCCACCCCCTTTCTCCCGCCCCTCAATCATCCCTTCCCCCTCACCCCATCCTCCCCCCGCCACGCACCTGCGGGTCGACGTCGGGGTTGATGCGGAGCAGCACGTTGACGACCTTGCCGGTGGCCTCGGCGGCGGCGGTGACATGCTCGAGGTCGAACTCGCTGTCGATGTTGATCAGGCACCCGTGCTCCGCGGCCAGCTCCAGCTCGTGCTGCTGCTTGCCGTTGCCGTTCAGCACGCACCTGCCGGGGGGGAATGGGTAGGGGAGCAGCACGCGGGGGAGAGTGGGTGCGGGAGCAGCGCGCGGCATCGCCGCACGCACCCTAAGGCGGCCCTTTCCGTACGCTCGTGTGAGTACTTTCATTTCCTTGCAGGTTCAACCATGGACAGTGTGTGCTCGGCTGCAACTATTGCGGCTAGGTTAGACCTATATGAGTTTCCAGCGGGCTACGGGAAGAGGTCACGTGGAGCGGTGACGGGACGGGGTCACGGGAATGGGTCACGGGAAGGGGTGGCGGGGAGGGCTCACCGGGAGGGGTGACGCGGAGGGGCTCACCGGGAGGGGTCAAAGCCGGCAAGGAGCGCGAGGCGGAGCTCGTTGCCGCTGACGAGCACGGCGCCGCTGCCCGCGCCGCACAGCGTCTGCAGCACCTTGAGGTTGTTGTTCGACTTCACCGCGTACCCGATAATAGACCCCGGCAGGCCCTTTAGCGCGTCCACATACGCGTTATAGTTGCGGAGGATCTGCGGACGGCTGTAGAGGTAGAAGGGACGGAAGTTGTCCTCTTGCTGCCAGATCTGCTCTGCCACGTCAGCAACACGCAGATCTTCGACGTAGAGGTAACCGTTTTCCGTCTGCAGGTGCGCGCAGGGAGCGCGACAGGGACGGGTGACACTAAAGTCGAGTGAGACACGAGCGAGCGACGGCGACGAAGAGAAGGCGATACAGGAGAGATTCACGACAAGCACTCACGACTGTGAGTCTGTAAGACGACATCATATATCGCGAAAAGTTACGGACGCGACGAGGCCGCCAGAGCTAGGGTAACCTGCATATTATAAACATTGCGACTCTGTAGTCTTCGCATTCCAACGTAACCCTAAATCTGACGCTTTATCACCCGAGTCATCGACTGAACGTCACCAGCCCTCCCGGTTCCTTACGTGGAATGCATTTGGCGCGTTGCTCACTGCTGCGGCCTCGCTCGCCACGGCGGACGGCACGATCCGGCTCGCCCTCGGATTCTCGGGCTTGCCGAATTCCGCATTATTCGAAATGGACGCGCGAGGAGCGGAGACAGCAGACGCCAGCGAATGCTTCTTGAGGGAAGTGAGCGAAAGAGACTGCTGGCTAACGGACGACTTGCTCGAAAGGCTCTCAACGAAGCTGATAGCAACAGAGCCTCGCAAGAAGCTCGAGACTGGGCTTGAAATGGCCGACATGGCGACCAGGTAGAATCAAAATCACTAGTTTCAGTATGAAAGGTGAGAATGAGAACATGAGCGAGGGGATGCAGGGATATGCTCGAGGGAAGGCAGGGATCGGTTCGGAATTGGAAGTGAGAGGAAAGCAGGAAGAGGTAGGACACTGGGGCAGCTGAGGTGGCACCAAGGGATAATGCTGATTGGATGCTGCCAGCGTGTACTGCATTAACGAATCGTGGTGAGTGACAAATCTGCCTTGGGCCCGCACATGCAGGAGGGAGCAGTGGGCGAAATGGCGGCACCAATGGATGTATCGTGTGCGCCTGTCACCGCGCCTGATAGGCCTTCTCGACTCACGTGGCACGCTGCACTTTTGCTGATGCGGATGTGATCGAGCCAAGCCCATCCTTGGTACTGGCAGTCCGGGGTTATTATAATTCGCCTCGATCACATCTATGCATGCTGTAAGGAATTTTCTCTACATTACTTAGCGCATCCTGCAACATCGCGTACAGCAGCAGCTGTTGTTCTCCCGTTACTGCTAACGGGGCTTCGACGACTTCGCACGCACTGTTTCACCAACCAATGCACCGCTGGCCCGGCCGTGTCGGCCTACGCTTCGGGACTAGCCCGAACCTCGATGCCAGCCTAGCACTAGCTAGCTCGCACTCACCACGTTACCGTTTGCATGTTCCGCATATAAATGTTCACTCATGCCTTCGCTCACATTTGGTACTCGTTTGACACTTAGTGCAATCCTCACTACCTCGATTCATTGCACCCGTAACACATGCGACAACAATTCATTCCTAACACGATTACTCCCTTATTCACTCCTGCTTCTCTAGTAAGTCTAACTAGGGCAGATTTTATTTCCCATGTAGTATCAACATTATGGGTGCCAATGCTCCCACTTTTGGTGAGGGTAATGGCAACTGGTGCTATGTGAGCATCAGTCTGTTGCAAGAACAACAAACAGCAGCAAACCATGGCGTGCAATCACGCGTATTAGGAAAAGCGGTACCGCTAACGAGGACCTTCTCAGTCATCCCCTGTGTAGAGTTTCGAGGGGTTGAACGGTTTGGCGGATTCCACGTCATACTGCGTGTCGCGCTTGACCCAGTGCGCGTACTTCTGCTGAAGCTGCTCCGCCATTCTCTGCGTCTTATCTCCCACCACTCTGCCCGAATACTCCACGCCACCTGCTATTGCTGGCGGCGTCGGGTCCGCCGGCTTTGCCGGAATCCACCGCCGGGGGGCTTCACTAGGTCTTTCCGTCATTCGAGGAGCAGCACGAGCCTCCATCCTCGGCCGCCGAGGCTCTTCATATCTGCGGGTTGAGGCTCTAACGGGGGAAATCGATTCGTAGGCATCGCTATAGTCAGCTGCGCCACAGCACTGCACGATGGCGGCGAGCAGCAGCACGACGAGCTGCGTGACGAAGAGCACGAGGTAGATGGCGCCCTCCGTGCTCACCAGCTGCCGCGCCTTTCCGCTCTCTACCGCCGGGCCCAAGTTCCCCACGATTACATCGAGGCGCAGGAAGATGACCAGGAACGACGCGAGGAAGCCCGCGAGGGAAACCAAAAGGCAGAACACGTGGCAGTCGAAGAAGAATCCTGGCCGCGCAGCTGAAACAACTCCTAGCAGACCGGATGCGACTGTAAGCGCGCCGAGCAGGATGAAGCCCCAGCCAGGAGGAAAGAGCGGCACGGGGCGGATTATGAGCATTATTACTATTGACGCGACGCCTCCAGCCAGCACAATGAGATTCAGGAAGCGCAGGAAATGAGTCGCCATGTCCACCATTGTCGCCTGAACTGAACCGCGGTGCCTCGCCATCGTTGCCTTCGGCCTAGGAAATTTATGGTATGAGCTTCGCAAGGGTATGCGCTTGGCACCTCTATTCTGTTTCTGTTCCGCGGTAAAAAGGAATGGAGGAGAATAGTCGAATTCGAATGTGGGAAGATGCCTAAAGTGCACAAGGAGAACTACATGCGAGCTCCAGTCTAGTCCTATCCTGGGTGGATTGCTTGGTTGTGCTCTTCTCACCTGCGCGTGCAAAAGTACTGCGGCTTCATTTGGGGCGAGATTGCAAAAATGCAGCGGAGGAGCAGCCAGGTGTTCAAGGTGCTGGTTGCCAAACAGCAGACGGAGGTCTCCCAGTGAGACTGGCTACCCTAGGGTCTTGGCAGCAAAACCAAACCACGTCACACCTGTCGTGAAAGCAAAACCAAGCCGAAAAAATATTAGCGGTGATTGGTGGCGACTCAAACGTGTAACCCTCGCATGACTCGCGAAATCCTCGCATGACCAGCCAGGACTGGTGACCCTGGGCTGTAATGACGACGGGCTGGAGCCGCGAATAATGGCGGCGTCGCGCCTTTAGGTCATGTGGTTTTGGCGAAGCCCAGCCCTTGCTCCTCCTGTATCGAAGGCAGGAAGTATAAAGTGAAATGAGGACAGCAAGCCAGGAATAACAAATATCACAAAACTCCTTATCTATGTACCTTATTTTATAAATATCCATGAAATGCTGAAAAGAGCTGTCATGCTGAATTGACTCAACAAACCACTAATATTGTTATTAAAATAAATTTCTCTATGCATAGCCGAAGTGCATGAAAGCGAAACATAACTACCAATACTACCGTACTACTCGACACAAATTAACATGTACGATGGTATTGCTCATAGAAAGCCAACACCGGTAATGTTGACAAGGTGGTAAAGAGAGCTACAGCGGCGTCCTTAGCCATTATTGAAAAACATCATGCTACCGTAATACCCCGGATATAAGCGCTTCTGCGCTTATAATAAAACAGTGTTTTTTAGGGGGGTGCGCTTATAAATGAGTCAAAATTATAAGCGCATGCGCTTATATAATGAAAAACACATAAATATGTTATAAACACACCAAATTGTGCAATTTCATTCAAATCGAAATGTGTGGAGCGTTCTGAATCAGAATCGCGCGAGGGCGATTCTCTGCCGGCGCACAAGGGCAAGGACACGTCACTTTCGCATAGGAATGTGTCATGCCCGCCCCAGCAAAGTGTACGAACCAATAGCTTGCAGTCGCTCGTTCGCATCGCACAGGCTTGCCCCAGTGTACGACCAATAGCCTGCAGTCGCTCGCTCGCAGCGCACAGACAACAGTTGTTCCGAGCCCCCCTATCAGGTCAACTTCGCGCCGTTGCGCTTTTCCTGAGCGAGCCCGCCCTCGAGGGTGTCGAACAGAGTAGAAGTGGATGTGGACTCGCTTCAAAACGGAAAGTCGTTACTGTTTTAATCCGGTTTTTTAAAATATGTTTATACATGCGCTTATAATAAATCAGGGTTTTATAAGGGGTGCGCTTATAATTGAGGATCGGCCATAAGCGCATTGCTCCAGATATAAGCGCATGCGCTTAACATAGGCCTGCGCTTATTGCGGAGAAAAGGCGGTTTTGGGAGAGCCTAGGCGCAGTGTTGCACGATCAGAGAGTGAAGTGCGAGTTTTCCGTGTACGGACTTGCTGGAAACCGGATACTGGTATTTGGAGAACAGTATGCTTGGTATGCAGCAATAGGCTTGGTATCCAGTAACGAAAGGAAAGTAATTGATTCATTGATTGATTACAATAGATACAACATGAACCTTATAGGAAACATAGTGACGTGTGCGAGAACGTTCTACGAGAACGTTGTCCATAAAGAACGTTGTTCAAGGAGAACGTGCAAGCACCTACTCTAGTATGCGGTTCCAAGTTGGCACCGCCAGGTGAAAATACCATCAGGTGAAAATACCGTCAGGTGCATTTTCTACCTGCCCACGAGTAGTTGCGCAGGTGCTCGCAACAGACAGCTGCACATACTCGAATGTCGTCACTTCCCTCCATTTCGGTTCAGTGTTGAACAGTGCATGCCGAAGTGCACTATTGGAGTGTACTCGGTGAATACCGAAGCTCCGGTATGCGGTATGCGAAACCTCGCTACATCGCATAGGGCTGCTACACGCAAAACCAGGCACGTGCAGGGCTTCACCTTAACACTCCCCTGCCCTGCTCGTGCCTGGGCAACTGAGGAGTTAGCACACCACACAAAACGAAAGGAAATAATAGAGTACAACAAGGTGACGATTCTGAAACTCGTCCGCGTGTTTCCGCACACACATACTCACCGCACCAGCCATGTTGAAGGACATGGCACCTATTCCTGCTCATTGTCACGATCGTCGTCTTCAAGATCGACTTATCCAACAGCGACAGCGCAACGCTTGAATGCAGGGGAATGCAATGCCTTTGTGAGATAGTCCGCGGGTTGCTCGCTCGTCGGAATGTACGTAAGCGCGAGCTTCTTGCGCTTCACCATCTGCTGCAACCAGATGTAATGCCTCTCCATGTGCTTGAGACTCCCCTTGAGGCCCAGCCCTTCCGCAACAGCAATCGCAGATGAGTTGTCCACGTGGATGACGGTTGGCACCCCGGCATCGAGAAGCCGAAATTCAGCGAGTAGAAAGCGCAAACGGCGCGCCTCCTTGCCAGCCTCCGTTGCAGCAATGTATTCGGATTCCGTTGAGGACAGCGTCATGCACTTAATCCTCTGACTTGCCCACGAAACCGCAGCTCCGCCAAGCACGAAAACGTATCCGCTGGTACTGCTGCGAGTTTGCCTGTCACTCGCGTCATCGGAATCCGCATACCCCACCAGGCGTAGGGTATCCGGTCCACCACCAAACTCGAGGGCGAAATCACGGGTGTTCACCACGTAGTCAATGCAGCGGTCCAGCTCCCTCCAGTGCTGGTTACTGCGAATCGTCAACCCCGAGCCCAACTTGCTGCATGCATACGCAATGTCGGGACGGGTCGTGGTCGCGACAAACTGGAGCGAACCCACTTTCTGGCGGTACTCCTCCTCTTCACGCGCTTGGTATTCTTCGTCGTCAAACGTCAACTCGGTGTACGCGTCGACCTAGATAGGCGCTTTCGGGCGGCGACCTGTCTGCTCTTTGTCCACAAAGCGGCGACGCAGCTTGTCCACGTATGCGCTTTGGTGCAGCCACAGCTTGCGCGCAGACCTGTCTGTCAGAATCCCAACCACTAGACCATTGGGATAAAAGGGCTTATTTCAGTAGCGGGTCAGTGCGCCCATAACCCCCCAGGCAAACGCGCCTGTAACCCCCCTTAGGATCGATCGGGGATCTCACAGTGTAGCTCTACTGACACCCCCCCACACTGGGAGGCCCAGGACTGAGCACAGTGGCAACGGCCTACATGTGCATACACCGGGATTCGAACCCGAGACCGCTCTGATACCATGTCAGAATCCCAACCACTAGACCATTGGGATAAAAGGGCTTATTTCAGTAGCGGGTCAGTGCGCCCATAACCCCCCAGGCAAACGCGCCTGTAACCCCCCCTAGGATCGATCGGGGATCTCACAGTGTAGCTCTACTGACACTGTCCTGTACTATCTCCAGCCCCAAATACTTCTGCACGGGAGTGTTTTCCCCTAGCTCGAATGCGTTTTGCAGAAGCTCACGGAGGTCCTTCAGCATCTCGAGGCTGCTACTTGCGGCGAGCAAATCGTCAACGTACACCAGCAGCCAACAACCGACTCCATCAGCACCGAACTTAAAGTAGAGCGCTTCGTCAACCTGACTCTTGCTCCACCCGCCGCCAATGAGTACGCTGTCGAGCGCCGAATACCACAGCAGTGGGCTCTGTTTGAGTCCGTACAAGCTCTTCAGAAGCTTGCACACGCGATATGTACCGTCGTTGAAGTACGCCGGCTGCTCCATGTACAGAACTGGGTCCAATTTGCTCTGCAGGTATGCGTTTTTCATGTCCAGCTGCATGACGTGTAGATCGAGTACCGCGACGATGGAGACGAAAATGCGTAGCGTAACGTAGCTGCCGACTGGTGAATATGTCTCATCGTAATCCGCACCATAAATCTGCGTAAATCCCTTCGCGGCGAGACGTGCCTTTTCGCGGGCGACCATGTCGTCGGCGTTGTACTTTGTCGTAAGAACCCACCGGTTCTTACGCCGCGCGGTCGAGGCACCAGCTCCCATGTTCCGTTGGCAAGAAGGCTGCGCATCTCCTCCTCCATTGCTGCCTTCACCGCCTTCCCCTTCCAGCTCGCAAGCGCTTCCTTGACGGTCATCATGGAGATATCCCACCGTCGTTCAGGTTCAGCGTGCATATCGGGATCCAGTTCTGGCAGCGTGGTATCCGCATTTGCGTCTTCAAGAAGTGTGTTAGCGAATACCGGGCACACATCGGCCCACTTCTTTGGAGGCACACCGAAGTTGGAACGGGTGGAGTGCCGTGTCGGCAGCTTGACTTCCACCACATCGCTCGAAGAACTGTCTCCAGATGACTCCCCTGCAGCTTCGCCGATGACCTCCACAACGTCGCTCGACGTGCTGTCGCTGATCTGCTCCCCTGTCAACTGCTCCCCTGTCATGTGATCCCCTACCTGTTTCCGCATACCAGGTGCGCCGTTCTCAGAAGATGCGGCAGGTCGACCGTCGACGATGCCTATGCGCGGCGCAGAAGGTAGCGCGTCATGTCTCCCCTCATCGTCGGCGGCCGACGTGGACGGGGTGTCGGCGGTTGGACGAGAGAGGGTGTCCGCAGCCGGTAGCGGAGAGGAGATGACGGTAGGCGAGGAGGAGGTTGACGGTTTGGTGACCGGCACCACACGTGGGTATACCGGAAGGAGGGTAGAGCTGGGGATGGACGTGGGGACGTGCGGAGGTGCAGGTGCCGAAGCCGGAGCGTCAAGCGGATCGTCAATCTCCTCAACGAGAAGACTCGGTGAAGGAGCGGAGACCGCCGAAGTGGATACCTTGGG